ACACACACACACACACACACACACAGAATCCAAAGCAGGCTCCAGGCTCAGCCATCAGCACAGAGCTTGATACGGGGCTGGAATTCATGAGCCTATCATGATGCAGTTGGATGCTTAACCAACTGAGCCACCAAGGCCCCATAGTTTCACCTTTAAGTCTAAGCGTTTAAGAAATAATATCAGTCTTACCCAAAGCCCTTAAGAAAATAAAGGAAAAGGGAAAACTTAACACATTCTTTCAGGCCAGCATTACCCTGATACCCACGCTAGACAAAGACATTACCAGAAAACTATAAACCAACATCCCTTATAAATATATATATGCAAAATTTCTTAAAATATTAACAAGTCAAACTTAGCAATATATAAAATAGCACATCATGGTTGTAGCATACTTATGCAAGAAAAAGAAATGAAAGGCATACAAACTGTAAAGAAAATAAACTGCATTTTTTGTAGGTGAATTGAGAGTATGCTTAGAAAATCTTAATGAAGCTAGGAAATGTTATAAAATTAATAAGTAAATTTTCCAAGGACACAGGATAGATAAAAAGTCAATATGCAAATATCAGTTGTATTCTGTTTACTACCAATGAACATTTAGAAAATGAAATTTTTAAAAGCCCTATAGGGGTGCCTGTATGGCTCAGTTGGTTAAGCATCTGACTTGATTTTGGCTCAGGTCATAATCTTGTGGTTCATGAGTTTGAGTCCTGCATTGGGCTCTGAGCTGACAGTGTGGATTCTCTCTCTCCCTGTCTCTCTGCCTCTCCCCTACACTCTCTCACTCTGTCTTTCTATCTCTCAAAATAAATAAACTTAAAAAGAAAACCAAACATCCAAAAATATCATTAAGAATATAAAAATACTTAGAATAAATTTAATAAAATATGCACAAGACATATATATGAAAACTGTAAAACATTGCCAAGAAAAATAAAATATCTTAATAAATAGTGTTTATTGTTTGGAAGACTCAATATATCCATTCTCCCCAGGTTGTTCTGTAGAGTCATTGCAACACCTATCAAACTCTTAGTGGGGATTTATCTAGTAATTGATAAACTGATTCTGAAGGTTAGGCTGAAATGTATAGGACCTAAAAGAGCCAAAAGAATTTTCAAAAAAGCACATACTAGTGGATTTACACTGCCTGATTTTAAGACTTACTATAAATCTAGTAATCAAGATAGTGTCCTCTCGACCTAAGGTTAGATCACTGGAACAGAATAGTCCATAAGGTCAGTTGATTTCCTCAAAAGTCCTAAGGTAATTTAAAGGAGGAAAGAGCAGTCTGACAAATGGTATTGGCATAATTAATTGGATATACATATGGAAAAAAAAATCAAATCTCAACCTATACACTTAACACTTTGTACAAAATTTAACTGAAAGTAGATAATAAATTTATGTACTAAAGGCTAAAACAAACTTCTAGAAGAAAACATAGGAGAAATTTTTGTGACTTTGGCGCAGGGAACAATTTTTTAGGATACAAAAATACTCACCCTAGGGGTGCCTGGGTGGCTCAGTTGGTTGAGCATCCATCCGACTCTTAACGTTGGCTCTGGTCATGATCTCACTGTTCATGGGTTTGAGCTCTGCATCAGGCTCTGAGCTGAGCATCGACCCTGTTTGCGATTTTCTCTCCCTCCTTCTTTGCCTCTCCCTCTGCTTGAGTGCTCTCTCTGTGTCCAAAAATAAATATTCTTTAGAACAATACCCACTCTACAAAATTTATCAGTTGGATGTTGTCAAAATTAAAGTCTTCTCAAAAGATACAGTTAAGAAAATGTAAAAAGCCAGAGACTGTAAAAAAATGTCACTGGTGTATCTAACTGGCAAAAGGCTTCTCCAGAATATACAAAGAAGTATTATAACTCACTTAAAATAATCCATCAAATTCCAATTTAAAAGTGGGCAAATCATTTGAAAAGATACTTTAAAATATTTTGGATTTTGGGGTAGAGAAGCTCTTAGAATATGACATAAAATCTTTTGACTATAAACAATTTGATAGATTTTACTATATGAAAATTAAGAGTAAAAGACACCTTGAAATGAAGACAGTTATAAGCTTTGTGGCAACATTCAGAATACATAAAATTAACACAAAATTCTTTTCAGGATACAGAGTAATCCTTTTCCTGTTTAGAACTGCTAATAGAAATCACTCTAGTCTCAAGATACAAATTTAAAAAATATATATTTTAAAAGTACATATGTGCTTTGTAAAAAAAAATAAATGAATAAAAAGAAAAAAAAAGGACAGATGTGGCGAGAAAAAAAAATAAAAAAAATAAAAGTACATATGTGCATGTTTATATGTGTGCCTGCACGTGTGTGTTTGTTTATTGGCTTGGAGGCACTGGGGAGAGAACAAGGTTATGAAGAATTATGGGGCTAGATCTTAGGGAAATAACGAGGATGACTAGAAAAGTGAGCATGGCATTTGGGTCTACCTTTTCTCCAGCTGTGTCTTCCAGTTCCCGATAAAATAGCTGAGAGATTGAGAAACTGGGCAGAACTCTCCAGATTCTTGAGGCTAAGGATAAAAATGGTACTTGGGGCTTTCTCAGTAGTGCTTTAGATTTGGATCTTGAAGGGCTACCCCCTGGAATTAAGGGTGGTTCAAAAAACTGTTCTACCTCTTCCCATCACAGGAATTACAGCTTTACATCACAGCTGCTTAATCTCTGATTAAAGTAAAGTGATCCAAGATTAGTAGTACATCAAGCCTAACTGTGATGGCCAGAAGCAAAAATAAGTTTTCTCTTGAGAAAGATACCATTGCCTGAAGCATAAAATTCTATCTGTGGTTTTTCGTATACATTGTCTGGCACTCAGTTAAAAATAATAAGCATGTGAACAAATGAGACAACATGATGGAAGAACAAGAGGAGAAAACTTGTATACCAAACATCAGTGATGCAAAAATAAATGGCATAGAGTATACACCTGCAAAGGGCTCACATTCCAGGAGGATGTCAGACATGTAAACAACCTAAAGGTTTTCAGGTAATGAAATGATCAGACACAGATATAGACTTTAATATACTCAAGTACATAAAGATGAAATTTAAAATTTCAGCAGAAAACTGAAAATGGACAAAAGAGTCCAATGGAAATTCTAGAATTGAAAAATATAACAACAGAAATTAAGAATTTGATGGATTTAGATCTGGATGGTATATCATAAGAAAACAGAATGAACCACTCAGAAGCAAAAGGATAAAAAAAATACAGAAAAGAGATAGGAGATTCATTAAGAAGGTATAACTTATGTATAATGGATCTCACAGGAGGGAAAAAATGACAGTGAAATAGGGATAGATATGACAGGGAATTTTCCAAATATGACAGGATATCAACAATTTTGGTAAACCCTGTAATTAGAGCATGATAAATACTTTATAATGAAAATAACACCCTAGGATGTTGTTAGAAAAGTCTAAAACCAAAAGTTACTATCTTTTTAAAAGCAATCAGTAGAAAAAAAGTGTAGTTACCTTCAAAGAAGCAACAGTAAAAGTGACAGTTCATTTTTCGTTGGAGAGCATTGAAATCAGAAGAGAGTGGAGGGTGCTGAAGCTGAGTAACGACCATTCTAGAATGCTATACTCAGTGAAAATAGAAAAAAACAAAATGAAGGTGGTAACTGAGAGAATAGTTAAACATGGAGTTCTCCAGGGAGAAGGAAAGTATGAAATGTAAGTGTAAATTTGGAATTGTGGCTTAAAATCTAATTTAATTTGTTTAAAAAAATTTTTTTTAATGTTTTAGTTTTTTTTTTGAGAGAAGGAAAGAGAGAGAGCGTGCACACGAGCACGCACATGCAATCAGGGGAGGGGCAGACAGAGAGACGCACACAGAATCTAAAGCAGCCTCCAGGCTCTGAGCTGTCAGCACAGAGCCAAACGTTGGGCTCAAACCCATGAACAGTGAGATCATGACCTGAGCCGAAGTTGGATGCTTAACCAACTGAGCCACACAGGTGCCCCAAATCTAATTTAATTCGAATTCTTCATAACTGTGTCATCAAAACTCATTTAAAATGGAGTCCTCAAATGTCAGCAAATGTTTAAGTGCTTAGATTCAATAGCAGTGTTAATTCTTTTAATAAATACTTAGTGAGTATTTCCTGTTTGCCTGCCAGCTTTGTGTTAGGTGATGGCAGTATAGAGAGAAGTAAACACAGAGACTGTTCTTTCTGGAGCTCCTGTTCTAGTTGAAGTAATGGTGTGCTGGGACAAAAATTAAACCAATGACCACACAATATACTGTAAGGTTACACTATGGAAGGGACATAGGTAAATGGCTCTGTAAGGTGGTATAATCGATGGGTCTGAAGGAAAAAGTTAGGTTAGGAGAGGCAGATGTAGCATGTGCAAAGACTGGCTGGAGACAGTCGGTGTTGGAGGATTGGAAAGAAGCCCTGTTTAGCTGTAGCACAGAGAACGAAGGGTGAGTTATATGGTAGAGTCTCTCTTTGAAATAATATAGAATGAGAAGAAACCGGGCAGGTAAGCAGAGATTGCAGTGTTGATATGGTGGCACGTGTAAAGCATTTAGGGCTTTATCCTTAGAGCAGTAGGAAGCCATTGAAATATATTATGCAGGTGGGTAATATTTGCAAATTGGCACTTTGGAAAGATGGTGGTTTGGAGAATAGAGAGAAGGCCAGTAGTGGATATGGGTAGAGATATTGTAGTACTCTAGGTAATAAATGATGGTAGCTTGGGCTAATGTGAGGGCATCAGAGATAATGACAGTTTCCCTAGGTGGTGAAAGTGAATTGCTTGAATAAATTTTAAATCATCTGTACAATGGAATGTCATGAGACTGAGATTTATAAGAATTTGTATAGTGTGGGGGAATACCTATGGTGTTACATAATAAAGCAGAATATGAAATTGTACATAATGTGTATTCTTAGTTATATAAAGTTATAATAGTGAAGCATACTAATTATCAGAAATGACTCTTTTTTTGAAATATAGACACCCCAAGAACATGCTGTTAATGGTCCAGAACACTTGAGGAAAAAACGTACAACTTCAGCTGAAAGAAATACTTGTCAGCTTTATATTCAGACTGATCATCTGTTCTTCAAATATTATGGAACACGAGAAGCTGTGATTGCCCAGGTATTTATAATTTTGCTACTATTTTAGGAGTTCTCATACTGCTTCATTATACCTGTGCAACCAAAGTTATGGCATATCTCTTTTTTGAAGAAAAAAAAAAGAAGTACATATTTTTAATAATTATAAAATAAGTAGAAGTACACAGATGACTCAAAGACCAGTTAGGATGTTTTAGAATCATCCAAAGCTGAATGTAAAAAATGATTTCAGAAATTTGATAGCACTGGAGTTTAGCTTTGTAAAGAGGATTGAGTTTGCTTTTCTTTTAAATTTTTATTTGGTTTTTGTAAATTTACATCCAAGTTAATTAGCATATAGTGCAATAATGATTTCAGGAATAGAATCCAGTGATTCATCCCCTGCATGTAACACCCAGTGCTCATCCCAACAAGTGTCCCCCTTAATGCCCCTTACCACTTAGCCCTTCCCCCCAGTTACAATCCCTCCAGCAACCCTCAGTTTGTTCTCTATATTTAAGAGTAAGAGGATTGAATGTTTAATTGTGGTCCTAAAGAATGGAAGAGTAGAGGAATCCTTCCAATAAGAAGTATTTAATTTCTGTTCTGTATTCCCATTGTATGTGGCATTTTTTTTTTTACTTCGTACTTTCAGAGTTGTGTTATTTGCATTTGTATCTTTTCAACACTTATTATAAAGTAAAACATTTTTGGAGATAACCATGTAACATATCCTTTCTGTTGAAGATTCCCAGTGTGAGTTTGATGATGCATTTTGACTCCAAATTTAATTTGAGACTAGGAGGATTCAGGTGCCTGTAGTATAAATGATGAGCTCATTTTGGTGGTGTTGACTAGATTAATTTTACATGTGTTTAAAAGCCAAGTGGTCATTCCTTAGGATATTGAAAATGTAGACCTGGAGTTTGGGAGAGGTTAGCCTAACCTTAAGCTTTCTGCATAGAATATTCAGGTACAAAAGATATAGTTCAAATAAGGGGAGAAAATGAAATTAAAAGGGAAGAAACAGAGGGATACTATCTCTATAGTGACTAGGATGAGGAAGAGAAACTATGGGGGAAAATATAATAGTTAAACCTGTAGGAGATTAACTGGGGTTAGCCAAGGAAGAAAGAGGTTTCAAAACAAAATATCATATTGTAGAGATATCAAAGAGAATGAAGAATGACTACAGTCTGTTAATTTAATAGATAGGGTGAGTCCTTTCATAATGTATATATGTATCAAATCATCAGGGTTTTAAGAAATGTGAAAAATAGAAAAAAATATGGTGGTTTAGAAAGAATATGGAATATTTGGGGGTGAAAGGAGGACCGGGAATAGGAAGAGGAAAATGATCCAGTAGAAAAGCAGTGTAAGATACAAGAGGAAAAATTGATAAGAGACAATGTTCTTGAAAGTCCAGCCAATAAGGAATGGGATCAGGAATAAAGAAAAGTTTCCCTTTGAGGAAGATAGAAATGGATGAAGACAGAAAAATTTGAAGGTAATGAGGGAGGGGGAAATCAAGACAAACTCTCAGTAAAGTATGAAGCATCTGTGGAGGAATGTTTGAACTACTACTGTTAAAATGGAGAAGAAACAATCTGATAAGGGATTATTACTAGGCCAAGCTGAGGTTAGATAGCATGAATTTATAATAGACCTGGTCAGCACTGTTAGGACTTTCTTTAATACTTTGGCAACCTGGGCTACTTCTGAAATTATTATTGTTAATTCTCCCACCTGACTATGTTGTGTTTGTATAATTTATTTGAAAATAGTTTTAAAAGTATATATACATGTTTTTACATAAATTGTAGCTAGAATGCTTTTTATATATAAAGATGGGAAAGTAGTTTAGAAGCCAGAGAGTTTAGTTGGGAGTCAGGTAGATAAACAGAGAAGCCTTTTATGTTCTATCACTATGTTTAATTTCCTCCTAGAATTTAGCAAATCTTTTTTTTTTTAATTTTTTTTTTTAATTTATTTTTGAGAGAGAGACAGAGCATGAGTAGGGCAGTGCCAGAGAGAGAGGGAGACACAGAATCTGAAACTGGCTCCAGGCTCTAAGCTTTCAACACAGAGCCCATTGTGGGTCTCGAACTCATGAACAGTGTGATCATGACCTGAGCCGAAGTCGGGCACTTAACTGACTGAGCCACCCAGGCGCCCCTAGAATTCACCAAATCTGAATGTATCTTATTTATGTTTGTATTACTTCCTCACTTCCCTCCTCCTCTGGAATAAATCTTTGTAAATTTATAAGGACCTTTTCTATTTGTTTGTCATTAGATTCCTAGCACCTAAAACAGTGCTAGTATATACTAAGTGGTCAGCAAAACTTAGAGAATGTGTACTGGTGCAGCAATAGAAAGTCTAAAGTCAGAGCATGACTGAGTGTCCTGATTATTATTAGGGAGGTTCTTATAGGAGATATTCGAAATAAGCCTGAAGGATAAATAAAGATATTGTAGGCATAAGGAAATAGCATGTGAAAAGGCATGGAGGTGACATTGCAGGATTGATTGAGGAAACAAAGCTTTATATTATTGAAGCAAGAGTGCATTTTTTTTTGGGGGGGGGTGGCTGGGGAAGAGTCTGGAAAAGGCACAGAATCTCCCCTCTCAGCCCTAGTTGATTAATCTATTTCATCTTTTCATCCAGTGTGTGATGTATGCATTTGGAAATTTGAGTGTGGTAGAACATGAATAGTTCTTGATTTGGGAGATGGAAATTCAGTCTTTTTCACATTTTTATATTGCCTCTAAAATACTGTTCTTTCTTAGCCTAAGTGTCCATCAACAGATGAATGGATCAAGAAGATGTGGTTTATCTATACCATGGAATACTACATGGCAATGAGAAACAATGAAATCTGGCCATGTGTAGCAACATGGATGGACCTTGAGGGTGTTATGCTGAGCGAAATAAGTCAGGCAGAGAAGGACAAATACCATATGTTTGCACGTATAGGAGGATTAGGAGGAACTTGACGGAGGACCAAGGGGGAGAAGAAGGGCGGAAATGGTGGGGAAAAGGGAGAGAGGCAAACCATGAGAGACTCTTGAATGCTGACTAATACTGATGGATGTGGGGGGTGGGGGGGATGGGCATGAAGGAGGGCACTTTGGGGATGAGCACTGAGTGTTATGTAGAAACTAATTTGACAATAAACTATTTGTAAAAAAATAAATAAATAAAATACTGTTCTTTCTTTAAATCTATAGATCTCCAGTCATGTTAAAGCAATTGATACAATTTACCAGACCACAGACTTCTCTGGAATCCGTAACATCAGTTTCATGGTGAAACGAATAAGAGTAAGGAATTCCTTTATTTAAATTTTTTTTCAATGTTTGTTTATTAAGACAATAAGGACCATATTTACAAAAAGAAAAATAATTGCTTTTTACTTCATATTTATGCATTAATAGTTTATATTGTACTACTTATTTGGTCTGTCTTTACTCTTGGCTTTTGCATATTCTCTCTCTCTCTCTCTCTCTCTCTCTTTCATACACACACACACACACACACACACACACACACACACACAGGGATACCTGGGTTTATGATCTATATAGGGCTTTAATTATACTGCAAAAGAGGTTACAGTCAGACTGTATTCTGTCTGTCTGATTAATATACCAGTTAGAAAGCCCTAGCTTCTCAATAACTACAGGTATAGTACTTGACCTTTTTTCCACCCTGATAGCATTTTCCAGTTTCTTAAGATTTTTCAGAATGTGTCCCATTTGGTGCTCCAGGGGAGGGAAAGATAGATGGAATGGCTAAATAAAATTGGAAGTTGGAAAAACACTTAGTACTGTACCCTCTTCTTGTCAATTTACAGCGCACACTAACATATCTCAAATTTTGAGAACTCCTTCAGGAGAGAAACTCAGTTTTTTTTTTTTTTAAATGTTTATTTTGAGAGAGAGAGAGAGCAAGGGAGGGGCAGAGAGCAAGAGAGATAGAGAATCTCAAGCAGGCTCCCTGCTGTTAGTGTGGAGCCTGCTGAGGGCCTTGATGCCATGAACTATAATGTAAAATCATGACCTGAGCTGAAATCAAGAGTCAGATGCTTAACTGACTGAACCACCCAGGTTCCCTGAAACTCATGATTTTCAAAAATAATTTGACCATGGAAACTTTTCTGTATTAATGTCAACTGAAAGTCCAAATAAATGTAGAACACATTTTGAGAAATGTTCACCCAGAGCTACAGGGTCACTGATGATTAGTTTTAATGTTATAAATTTAAATAAGTAGATATCAAATTACTAACAAAATTGGGTTGTTTGTTTCAAAATGTGAATTCTTTCCATGTGTATAGCTTTTAAGAATATGAATTCGTAAACTAGATAAGCAACCTGAATTAAAAAAATTTATTTTACAAAAGTATTTGCCACAGGTTTTCTTAATATTTGTACTCCTAACTTTCTTCAAATATAGTTGACTAAATTATAATTTGTGTTCATGGATGTAATATATTTAATAGTATAGATAAAAGTGATCCTTAGTAGTACGATTAAATGTTAAATTGAAGTTAAAGGGGAAATGTGGTTTGTAGATAAATAATGTAAGAATTGTTCATAATCAGTTCCTTTCATGTATTTTGAGAACAATTTAAACCCTAAAATGAGCAAGTAAAAGTATTGTTTAGTAGGCAAAGCAATAAAATGCAAAGTAGTGAATGCTTCTTGGCCAAGATCAAATGTGGTATCTGTTCTTATCAGCTAAAAATGCAAAGTAGTGAAAAGAAAATACCAGAACAAATTGTAATGAAACACTTTTTTTTTTTCTGAGTAAAATGATTTGCATTCTGAAGGAATGCATGCATATGAATGGATAGTGTGGCAGTTTATTGTTTTCAGGTTTTTAGCTGAGATTTAAATTTTAGTTCAGATATCATCTGCTGAAGATTCCTTGTGACCCATTAATTAATTTGAAGTTCATACCAATATAAGAATTACCTCATTTTTAATATAGGTAGCTAAAATTTAGATGCAATTTTTATTTGTAGCCAATATTACAGAAATATCAAGGAATTTCATTTGACAGGTGGGAAAAGCCATTTATAGCATGTCTCTAAGCATGGGTTATTTACAATGTATAATATGATTGCTTTTGGAATTTTTCATGTTTGATGACCATTACTGATAGGTTTTTTTCCTTTTATTTTTTAATAGTTTATTGTCAAGTTGGTTTCCATATAACACCCAGTGCGCATTCCCACAAGTGCCCTCCCCCATGCCCATCACCTCCCTTCCCCTCTCTCCCACCCCTACCAGACCTCAGTTTGTTCTCAGCATTCAAGAGTCTCTCATGGTTTGCCTCCCACCCTCTCCCCAACTATTTTCCCCCTTCTTCCCCATGGTCCTCCATTAAGTTCCTCCTATTCCACCTATATGTGCAAACATATGGTATCTGTCCTTCTCTGCCTGACTTATATTTCGTTCAGCATAACACCTTCACATTCTATCCATGTTGCTACAATTTACTGATAGTTTTTAGTTAATTGTTAGTAGATAAATCGGCTGTTCTGAAATCTATCCTTAGGCAGTTGCCCTCAGTAGTGCTTTTGCAATTCTTTCTAAGCCTCTTGGTTTTACTGAACGGTGTGGATCCTAAAACAACCTAACATTCTCATTTTATCAACTGTTATCTTCTCCCTTTACTACCAACATTTTCAATAGGATGAGGTTTGCCTTCTAAAAAATGTTTACTTTCATAGATATCCCTTTTTATTCTGTATCAATAGTTCTGTATGTAATGCTCTCACTTACTTGAGGAAAGCCATTTTGTTTAGGACTTCACAAGATAGGCAAGGGTCTCTGAAAAGAGACCTAATAAATGAAAGCTTTTGTTTAGTAGAAGTTTGGTATCAGAACTGATTATTCTTCAGATTGTGAAGGAGGAGTATAGTAGTAGCTAAGCATCATAAGAAATATTCTGGAGGAACTCAGCTTGATACAGTAAGAGAAGAGAATTGGCATTAAAAAAAAAAACAAAACCCAACACTTCTTGCCTACAGTCACGGAATAACAGTTGAACTTGCAGTTTGTTGGGCTTGACTACTATGATTTTAGGCAAGGAGAACCAAGAAAACGATTTGTTTGTTGACTTGATGGTCTTGGGTTTGATCTATGTTATGTTCTAGTAATTAGCTAAAATTTAGGGGTTTATATCCTTATATTTTCTACCATGTGCAGGAGATTAGTACTAAAAGAGACTTACTCAGATGATTAAATTTGAGAAGCTGTACTTCCTTTATTAGAATTTTTGCTTTCAAGTAGAACTTGTTTTTCCATCCCAGAGAGAATGGTTCAGTGTTCAGCAATCTGGACAAACCTTGCTCAGAAATTTAACATGCTCAGTTTTAATTCTCCAACTCTGTTTCCCCCCTTTCTTTTCAGCTTCTATAATCAGCTCAGGGGATGGCAGCAGTGGGAAGAATTGTAGAAGCCTTAATTCAGGCCTGATTTCCTTTGGGTCCCAAGCATATTGTTCAGGTGGATGCAGAAGAAGGGGAGCAATGACTTTACATGAAGGCTCTGCTAACATTAATTGTTTATTTAAATGATTGTTTTGGATTTTAGATCAACACAACTGCTGATGAGAAGGACCCTACAAATCCCTTTCGTTTCCCAAATATTGGTGTGGAGAAGTTTCTGGAATTGAATTCTGAGCAGAATCATGATGACTACTGTTTGGCCTATGTGTTCACAGACCGAGATTTTGATGATGGTGTTCTTGGTCTGGCTTGGGTTGGAGCACCTTCAGGTAGTTTATTTAACTATGTCTTGACTTAATGCTTGAAACAAAAACCAGTTTTCAGGGCAACTTGATTTTTACAAAAGTATAGGAGAACCTGATGCCCGTACAATATCTTAATTATACAACTTGAGTTAGGCAAGCATGATGTAATAAAAATAGATGAAGCAGCTTTTTATTTTGACATGAGTACCAACAAGGGGATATCCTGATATTTGGTACATTCAGTGGCTGAAATAATTAATTTTAGGACAAAAAAAGTACTCATTTTTGAAAACAAAATGAAATATTAATTTTTTCATAAAAGTTAATGTTATTAATTAAAAATTTTTTTTTTGCTTGGAAAGAAGGCCTTAGAATTACAAGGGGAAATCTGTGTTCTTGCTTCTGTTCTGGAATGACCTATAGAGAGCAGAGAAACCTCTGTCAGGAGCAGTGGGTAGAAAGAAAAGAAAGACTGCTCTTATTATTATTTTATTTATAGTCTTTATTTTAACAAAAGAGAAGTGTCACCTGAAAAGAGATGTAAGCAGCAGTCGCCAGTACCCACAGCTCCGCTGCCCTCAGCACCTGGGCCTACACTCTGCTGGGGTCTCTGCCATAGCCATGAAAGCTGCTGTTGCTAAGAAAGCTGGGATAAGATCCTCTTCCCATTGCAGTGAGGGTGGGAGAGTCTGTGATTTGTAGTAAGTTCAGCAGCCTGCTCTAGAGAAATATGAATTTATTAATTGAAAGATTGAGTAAAAACAATCCCATACTCTTTGAATATAGATTTGGCCATATAGAGTTCGATCAGTGGTTTGTCATTTTTGAAATATACAGTAATATTTCTTTCTTCTGAAATACCATTTCTATCTTTTTAAAAGAAGCAACTTCTGCTTTATGTAGGATAAGGCCAGCTTTTCTACTCCTGGTTTATTTTCTATTCCTATTTATTGTTTGATTTATGATGCCTATTTTAACATCTTAAGTGGTACTATATTTTAGCTTTATATTTTTTGCTCCTTTTTTTAAAGCCAGCAGTGAATATTCTTTCTACAATTTTCAAAATTTCTTTTGTTTGTCTTCCACATTTTCATAATGTCCTTAAGGTGCAAGTTTATGTCACGGATTTTATATATCATAGTACAGTATTTTTGGAGATTTATATTTGTCTCTAATGTTGATCCATCCTGGTTTTGTGTTACTTGTATTGTCAGCAGATTTTACAAATTCTTTTCTATGATAATTTCATGTTTTATCACTTTTATATTTTGAAGTTTCTTTTCCTCTCCTTGAATAAGTTGGATGGTTTTATTACAAAGTTTATGATTTCTTCTACTTGTTCATTAGTACTATAAAAATTCAGGGATACTTTTGATTTTTTTGTTGTAAATTACCATTAATATAGTGATTCTCAAAGTCTATTCCTTGGACTAGCAGCATCAGCATCATCTGGGAACTTATTAGAAATGTAAATTCATGGGCCCCACCCAGGTCTACTGAATCAGAAACTTTAGGTGTGGAGTCTAGCAGTCTTTGAACAAAGCCTTCCAGATGATTCTGATACACACTCGAGTTGGAGAACTACCATATTCATATTTTTGTCTCTAAAGAAACTTGTTTACAGAATTGCTCCTGGGCAAATGATTGGATGATTGTAAACCAGAAACTTCCTGTCATTTTACATTTTCACTGGTTTGGGAGCTAGGAGACTGGGTTTTTGTCTGTTTTGTCTCTGTAAATTCAGGCAAATCATTTTGCTTCAATGTTTATTTTTCATTGTAAATTCTTCTCTTGTGTCCTTTGAGACTTGATGTTTCTTCTGTAGATCTTAGTAATACTACCTGTTACCTGTTTTTTTCTTTTTCTTTTTTTTTTTTTTAATGTTTATATATTTTGAGGGAGAGAAGGCATGTGCATGGCAAGGTCAGAGAGATTGGGAGAGAGAGAATCCCAAGCCCGCTCGGCACTGTCTGAGCAGAGTCCAGTGTGGCGCTCAATCTTAGCAATCATGAGATCATGACCTGAGCTGAAATCAATAGTTGGATGCCTAACCAACTGAGCCACCCAGGCACCCCCACTGTTGCCTTATATTTAAAAAAATACCATTTCCTAGCTGATCTGTTCAGTTTGTGACCTTTCACAATTTCTTAATCTTTTCATTTTTATTTGTCCTGATTTTGGTTTTGTTGTATTATTTAGCTTAGTTTTATTTAATTCTGCAAATATTTTACTACTCAAATGGTGGTGGGATGGAGTTTGTTGTGATGTTATATTAATTTTCACAGAATATTATTCTAATTATTAGCTGTAGTCTTCACTGACTTCATTAAGCTGGGAAAAAATGAAGGGTAAAACATTTGAATAGTAGATTTCTTGTCTTTAAGACTTCTTATACTACTTTGTATGCTTATGTAATATCACACTGTAGTTGGGTACTGCCTTGGGTTTCTTTAATAAGGAAAACAGCACCTCCTGCCCAACTCCGTAAGTGGAAAACAACTAGTGAACTGGGCTGGCTTGGAGGCTCTCATTTAAAATTATACACAGATTAGGAGTGCCTGTGGATGGCTTCAGCTCAGATCATGATCTCATGGCTCATGAGATAATAAAAAATTAGACACAGATTAGAAAAGAGTCAAAAAAAGAAATCTGGTCTTCCAAACAAAGTCAGTCTTAGATGTGAATCTGGAAAGATTTTTTTTCAAACTTTGCTTTGTATGAGGACTGGTCTGTGTTAAGCAGGTAGTCTCTTATCATTTAATTTAGAGACTGAAACTTTGATTCATTGACTACGTAAATGACTCTATTAAATAATCTTTTTGTTTTATTTCCTTTGTGGCACCCTTCCAACATGCTTTTTGATAGCAGCCTTTTTAAAAAATTTACTAAGGTATATTTTGTTCATATATTGTCCTTCTTAAGGTTATCCTAATGAACATAGTCTCAGTTTGGGTAGGCCACCAAATAAGGCAAGCTCTGTAATTCATCTCCATAATTAATCCTGAACCATTCAGTATCCCTCTAACCATTTGTGAAAAACATTTCCTGAGACATTTCATTTGGTAGCAATGATCTCTTCTGTTTTTCTTAGTTTAGAAATTTTAGTTTGATTTTACATATTAGGATTTAAGGGCATACAGAGCTCAACATGGAGTTCACAAGATAACCCACACACTATCAAATTCTTAACATGTTGCTTAAAAGTTTAATTATAAGGCTAGGAGAATTACATCATTAGAATATTACAACAGGACACTTAATACTGGCATTTTGTGCAGGTCTGGATTGTTGCATGCAGATGTTTAACCTCTGGGATCCCTACCTATTATGTATGAATATTGCTTCGCAGACAAGAAAGGTGAAGAAATGTCCCAGGACATTTCCTGATAACCTTTCTGGGAGTGGTACTACTGTCTGGTTTAAAATTAGTGCTCAGATTAATATTGCATGGTCAGCATGCTACTATTCACTTTTAGGTGTTAAGGCCTGCTCACATCAAAACTGTGGACTCAGACAGGGTATTATATTACCTTGTAGTTTTTCTAATTTGGAGGGGAGGTCTGTTTTAATAGTTTTTGACTCAAACTTAAAAAATTTTACCCTTCTCGTTACTATTTAAAATTGTGTTTTGCAATGATGACTATATGTAGTAAAGTTTACTGTATAATATAAAACAATTACTGAACTTGAGCTGTTGTTTAGTCATAGGTATATATGGTATCACTAATTGAATTTCTGGCACATCAGAACTAGTTGCAGTATTTTTTACAAAATTAAGCCATAACTGAGCACTGATGGTATATGGAATTGATGAATCAGCACTAAACTAATATAACACTGTATGTTAACTATGTTGGAATTAAAATTTTTAAAAATTCGGTGCACTGTTGCCAAAAAAATTAAACCATAGCTGATAAAATTAAACATAGTATTTTTTCCTGTATAATTGAGTTATAACAAATACCAAATATTTTTTTAACTGATAATTATTAAAACTAAAAGCAGTTGTTATGATGTTAAATAAGATGTGAATTACAGAGACTATATTTCAAAAGAATACATTCAAATTTATATATGATCATCTTTTAAGCGAGATAGACCTTAAAAATACAGAAAAATATATTATCAGAGTTTTTAATACATGCTATTTTTTTTCTTTTTTTTAACTGATAAAGATTTACAGTGTGAAGTCTTCTATGCTTAATTCAAGTTTGACAGTACTGCATTGGACCGATTTCCCTATGACAAATCTTCACTGAGGCAGGATATTAATTTACTATTTGTTCAAAACTATAATATGTAGATGATAATTATTCCATACAGAGTGCTTATTCATCTTTTCTAATCTAGTAATAGTGATAGAGTCCTTAGGATTCATCTCCAAAAGTAGTAGCAGCATAAGAAAATATATTAAATATTATTAAATTACTTGATGCTTTCTTTCTGTTAAGATTTCTTTGTAGAAAAGGTAGTAAGTTTTGAGTATCATAAAGGTTCTCTGCTTTTTGATGGTTAAAATCTGCATATGGCTCAGTCTTTCAGTTTACATTTCTGTGAAGCATGTTATTTCAACTTCCTAAATCTTTCGTAACAGTAATTCACATTTATATTTTGTTGCCATATGCTTTCTGATGTTAAAAGGAACAGGGCAGCAATTGTAGCATCATGACATTCTTGCAAATCTTTTGAATTACCTTCTATTGTATGCTTTATTAAGGATTATAAATATTAGATTTTTCAATGGCTTATTAACTTGGTTGTAACTTTGTTTATAGAAAGCTAATTTGAAATAATTTGATCATTTATCAGAATATCCTAACATTTGATTGTATTTTAATATAAAAATCAAAGAGAAACCTTATACATGTGAATGTAAACTAAAGAATTCTCACTAAAAGTCTTTAACAGAGTTTTAAAAAGAGCTATGTTCTTCTCAGTATAATATACCTAAAGACATGGGTTGGCCAGCCGGTTTCTGATGTTTCCTGTTGTTGTTTTTCTAATTTCTTATGTTAACTGCCTTTAGATGTGCAAATACTTTGATTTTGATATTAAGCTTTAAAGTTCCTATTATTGAACAGGTGAATTACAAAGTGATTTAATATAAGTAGTGATATGGCTTTTCTTTTCTATATTTTTATTTTTTAAGTTTATTGATTTATTTTGATAGAGACTGCATGTGCATGTGTGCACCCAAGCAGTGGAGGAGAGGGGCAGACATAGAGAGGGAGAGCGAGAGAATCCCAAGCAGGAACTATCAGTGCAGAGCTTGACTTGGGGCTCGAACTCACAAACTGCAAGATCATGACCTGAGCTGAAGTCAGACACTCAACAAACTGAGCCACCCAGGCACCCCAGTGATATGGCTTTTCTTTTAAAATTTGAAAATATTCTTGAGACACTTTGGAAAATCATAATTCAATTTTTTGAACTTATTTTGAAAAAAACTTCAAACCTGCTGAAAAGTTGCAGGAATAGTACAGTGAACTCCTGATAGATTAATCAGTCAGCCTTTTCCCACATTTGCATTCCTTTCATCCCACCCTCTATCCTTCCTTCCTTCCCACTCCCCCCCCCTTTCTTTACCCACTAGACATAATTCTCCCCCCCCCCACTTTATTCAGGTGTAATTGACAAATAAAATTGTAAGATATTTGAAGTGTACAACGTAATGATTTGATATTCATATACATTGTGAGAGGATTCCCCCCCATTGATTAACAAACACATCCATCACCTCACATATTTATTTATTTTTGATGAGAATATTTAAGTTCTCTCTTTGCAAATTTCATTTGTACAATACAGTGTTATCAACTATAGTCATCATGTTATACATTAGCCACTTAGACTTATTTCTTCTATTTTTAAAAAAATTTTTAAATTACTTATTTAAAAAAGTTTATTTTGAGAGAGAAAGACAGTGTGTGCAAGCTGGGGAGGGGCAGGGAGAGAGTAGGCTCCACGCTATCAGCACAGAGCCCTATGTGGGGCTCAATCTCACAAATGATGAGATCATGACCTAAGCCAAAACGAAGAGTTAGATGCCTAACTGACTGAGCCACCCAGGCACCGTGACCTTACTCATTCTATAACTGGAAATTTGTACTCTTTTACAAATCTCTCCCTATCCCCCTCCACATTTCCCGAACCAGCCCCTGGCAAACACTACTTTTTTCTTTTTTTAAAAATATATTGTGTATTGCCTCTCAGAATAGTGAATTATATACTCATATGTATCACTGCTATTATTTGTAGAAGTGACTTTCTCAGAATCTACTTGAGAATGTTTTGTTCAACTTTCATTTAAATTAAATATAATTTTTTAACATGAAAAATTTTACAGAAACTTAAATATTTGTTTTGCTAAATTGACGGGAGCAAAAATTGGGGAATACTTTGATTATGAAGAAGAACATTTTATTAAGGGCCTTATACTATGTCCTGGGAGTTTCTTTATGTGTACCACTAAAACTTACCTGAAATGACTTCCTAATCTTGGACTAAAGAAACTTTTGAGTATTTGATATATATGGGATATATAAACTGTTTTAATTTAATATACCATATATTAGAAAGTTATTTTGCTAATTTAGCCATCTTTTGTTCTGAATTAGGAAGCTCTGGAGGAATATGTGAAAAAAGTAAGCTGTATTCTGATGGTAAGAAGAAGTCCTTAAACACTGGAATTATTACTGTTCAGAACTATGGATCTCATGTACCCCCCAAAGTCTCTCACATTACTTTTGCTCATGAAGTTGGACATAACTTTGGATCTCCAGTAAGTATTGTCTAATTATTTGTTTTTGAAAAAGTTACTAACCTAACTTTTATGTTGAGTCATTTGCTTGTTTGCATTGAAAACAAGTACACGTGAATGTTTAGTTTTTTTTTTTTTAACTGAAGTATAGTTGACTGACTAGTTTTTTATATATTGGAACACACAGTAATGTACTTGACAACACAGAAAGGGAGGATGGTAGAATATTTGTGAGTTAAACAAGAAGAGTTAGCATAACAATGCAGGATTCTATGAAGGCAAGGAATTTTGTCTATTTCATTCATTTCTCTGTCTGCTGATCCTAGAACAGTGCCTGGTGTGTTTCATTCAAATATCTTGTTGAGTGAGGATCACTTTTCATTGTTAAAAGTACATTTTGAATGTTAGCAAACTGTGGAGTAATTTTTATTTTTATTTTTTTGCTTGATTTCTGTTAAAACGTTACTGGGATTTGGTAGATTTGTCTTTATTGTGGCATGCGATATTTAAAAATCTTTCAGTATGAAAAATTGTAACATGCAGAAAAGTAGAGAAAAATGGTACAATAAATTCTTACATGCCCATCATCCAGAGCAGGGGTCAGCAAACTTTTTCTATAGAGACTGCTAGTAAACATTCTAGATTTTGGAGGTAACATTTGGTCTCTATTACATACTTTTCTTTGTTGTTTTTCAATTCTTTAAAAATGGGAAACCATTCTTAGCTTACACCGTATAGAAGTGGGCTGTGGACTGCCAAGCTCTGATTCAGATGCAACAGCTATCATGATTTTGAACTTTTCTTTTAAGGTATTTATTAGAAGCAAATTTATTCATCCTTACATATTTCAGTATACATCCCTAAAGAAATAGACATTTTCTTGCATAACCATGATGTGGTTATGGTGCCTGACAAAATTAACAATTCTTTGGTATCCTTTAGTCCTCAGTCCATTATATTGATTGCACACACAAATACAAAATACTGAAAGATAGTTTCTTTGTGATTTTGGAGGGCTTATTAAGTAACAAATTTGAGAAAATTTCATTTGACAACTATATGTGAATTTATTTTATTTGTACCATATCAATTATTAAAAATGGAAATTTTCATGAGTTTAGAAAAAAGTTATATACTTGGAGCTTAACATCTGCAAATGTACTTCTCTAATTTTCTCCCATTTTGTAAACTGGAAGTGCCACCTCATTAAGTTGCAAGCCTTTCTTCTTCTAAGTCTCTTTCAGAAATTGATAGATTATTATCAGTACTCTTGGATAAACTATTTAAAACGTCTTCAGGGGCGTCTGGGTGGCTCAGTCGGTTAAGTGTCCGACTTTGGCTCAGGTCATGATCTTGCGGTTCATGGGTTTGAGCCCCATGGTGGGCTCTGTGCTGACAGCCAGCTCAGAGCCTGGAGACTGTTTCAGATTCTGTTATCTCCCTCTCTCTCTGACCCTCCCCTGCTCACTCTGTCTCTCTCTCTCTCAGAAATAAATAAATTAAAAAAAAAAAAAACATTAAAAAATGTCTTTAATCTCTCTACCTCTTGACTGCTTCTATGATCTGTTCTTTTGTTTGTTTTGTTCTTGAGTTTGATATATTTTTTTCTCCTTAGAGGTTCAAAACCCTATGGTTTCTCGTTATGTGATCTCTGAGCAGAGAACTATTATTTATGATTAGTTTGCTTTTTCAAGGGCAAGTAAATACCCTCTTTTCTCTCCCAGTCCCCTTGATTCCAGCCCTTATCAGGGGAGTTGTGGTATCCTTTAGCTACTCCTCTGTCCTTTAGTTAGGACTTTCCAGAGTTTAATGTACATACAAATTACCAGGGATATTAAAATACAGATTCCATTTCTATTGGAGGGGGCAAGTTTCTGCATTTTTAAGACACTCCCAGGTGATGTTGTAGCTGCCCCTGGTCTGCAGGCCACGTGCAGAGTAGGGCATCTAATCTGTTCTCTTCATTTCCTGTGTAATCTGTTCTCTACCCAGCTGCCATAAATTTTTTTTTAATTAGCATATTAATTTCATATTACTTAATGCTTTTTGTTTAATGGATAAATCGGTTTACATTCTTTGCATAGCCTGCTATCTTTTCCTCTCATACAAGATTACTTTTAATGACTCTGCCATGCTAAATCACACCCCATTCCTATGCGGGGTAAATATTTATAAGTACTTTAACAGAGAAGCCAGAACCATAAATTCCTGAGCTTATCTGCCTTGACATTTATATCTGAAATCTGTCTTCCAATCTCTCCTGTCGTACATCTGTACTGTGTCAGTGTTACTTTCTCTCTGAGTGGTTCACACTGTCTCTTATATTTATTTATCTTACCCCAAATCTTTATTGCACACCTGTCGTTAACCACCTTATAAGCTTTGTCTTGAGAAGTTGTAATCATAATGACACTAGTTTCTCTCAGTATGAAAGTTATAATATGTGTTTACTCTTACCAAATTAGTCTTTGTGATTAATTAATGTGAAATCACATTAATTCACAACCCCAAGATTACGAGGTGCACACTCTACCAACTGAGCCAGCCAGGCACCCTTGATTAACCTGTAATGGATTTATGGGGCATAGACTAGCCTGGGATATCAAAATATGCTCTCTTTAAAGTAGAATGTAGAGCCTTCAAGGGCTGGGGGCAGTGCTTAACTCATCCTTGTATCTTTATATTCTATTTTAGTTCCTTGTATAATACTGGACACACGCTAGTATTTATTGAATTGAAATAGGTAAAACATTCTGTGATAATATCGAGAGTTATACAGTATTGGGATTTGTTTTCTTTCTTTTTCTAAAACTCTAATGCTGAGAATAATTCCAGTGTCCTACATTATCATAAACCGAATAGAATTCTATAGAATGAAAACATAAAGCAAGGTAATATTGGAGAATAGTAAAGAGCTGATAAATGCTGAATCTAGGTTCAGGAGAACAGTAGGAGGTACCGTGAAGAATAAATGTGATAGTAGAGGTCTTATTTTTCAAGTTGCTTTTTAAGTTGCTTCAGGGGATGCCTGGCTGGCTCAGTCGGAAGGGCATGTAACTCTTGATCTTGGGATCATGAGTTCAAGTCTCATTCTGGGTGTAGAGATGACTTACAAAAAAAAATAATAATTTTAAAAATCTTAAAAAAATAGTTACTTCAGATTACGGAGTAGAAAATGAAATAACTTGGGCTCTGAAAAGAAACAGAATGCCTTTGGACATTCTTTCTTTCTGGAGGGTAGAATTGTATTCAAATGACAATTTAATTAAATAGAAGAATTTTACTCTAGGACTGAAATTTTTTTAGCCTTTCCGACAAGTTCTGCATTGTTGTTTGAGGTACACTGTGAGATTTTTTTGTTTTTTAATGTGTCTTTAGTTTTGAGGAAGATAGAATAGGAGTGAGGGACGGGCAGAGAGAGAGGCAGACACAGATTCTAAAGCAGGTTCCAAGCTCTGAGCTGTCAGGACAGAGCCTGATGCAGGACTTGAACCCACAAACTCTGAGATCATGACCTGAGCCGAAGTCTAACACTTAACCAACTGAACCGCCGAGCTGCCCTAGTTTGTTTGTTTGTTTGTTTTTAAATGCCTGTCCCCTGAGGGAGGAAGGAAAGTGGGAAAGCTTCTGTGAGCTGGTAGTATTCTGTTAGTTAATCTCCATGCTGGTCACATAGGAATATTTAAAAAAAAAACTCAGAGAGCTATAGTTGGTACTTTGCACTTTTCTGTATGTATGGGATACTTCAGTAAAATTTGCCAACATCATAAACATTTTGTGTACGTATACATGTATGTTTCCTGTTTTATTTTGAAAACAGTGTTTTAGTTTTACCTTTTAGCTTTTCTTAATTTTCATTTAAAAATAGCATTTACATGTCTTTCTTATGTACTTAGTTAATAAGTCAACTCTCTTCGATGCCTATCTTGTATGTACTTAGCCTCATGCTATTCTCTTTTGTTTTCTGTCTTTCCCTGTTTCTGTCTTCTCTGAACTAGTCATAGTAATTTAGCTTATATGTTAAAGACTAGTCATTTTAAGAAGTTTTTATTCCTGTTACTAATTTAGAAAGTAGGCAAGCCTATTTTTCTTTTATTTGTATTGGTTTTAATTTTAATTCCAGTGGAGTTAACATACACTGTTATATTAGTTTCAGGTGTACTATTGTACAGTGATTCAACAGTTCCATGCACTACTCAGGCTCATTGTTATAAGTGTATTCTTAATCCCTTTACCTATTCCATCCACCCCCCTGCCATCCTCCCCTCTGGTAACCATCAGTTTGTTCTCTGGAGTTAAGAGTCTGGTTTTTGGTTTGTTTCTCTTTTTCTCTTTTTTCTCCCCTTGTTCATTCTTTTGTTTCTTAAATTCCACATGAGTGAAATCATACAGTATTTGTCTTTCTCTGATTGACTTACTTCACTTAGCATTAGACTCTCTAGCTCATCCATGTTGTTGCAAATGGCAAGATTTTTTTTTTTATGGCTAAATAATATTCCGTTGTATATATGTACATCTTTTCCATTCATCTGTCAGTGAACACTTGAGCTGCTTCCATAATTTGGCTATTGTAAATAATGCTGCAGTAAACATAGGGGTGTATGGTGAGCTTATTTTTTGATAGACTTTCTGATGGTTTGTCCTCCTACTCCCTGTTTACAAGAACTATAAATTGTTGTGGCTAGACCCTCACTCATTTTTCCTTCCCTTCTAAGACAGTGACCCCTAAAAGAGGAAATTGTTTTCCTTCTCACAGTCTAAAACAATTGTAGGATCTTTTTTAGAAGAGAGTCCACAAGCTTCCATTGTTCTTCTGGTGAGAAAATTACATTCAGTCAGATAACCCGAAAACCTTATTTTACTTCCTGTTTATGTAACTCTATATTCTGTTTGGCAGCATGATTCTGGAACAGAGTGCACTCCAGGAGAATCTAAGAATTTAGGACAGAAAGAAAATGGCAATTACATCATGTATGCAAGAGCAACATCTGGGGACAAACTTAACAACAATAAATTCTCACTCTGTAGTATTAGAAATATAAGCCAAGTTCTTGAGAAGAAGAGAAACAACTGTTTTGTTGGTATGTATGTTTTCCTGACCCATAGTTTCAAACTTTGAGAAAATTCGAAACACCTATGCACCTACCACCTGTATTTTATAACTAGTAAAATTTTGCTGTATTTACTGTCACTGTTTATTAACTTATCCATCCCTCAATCCATGTTTTTAGTTGCAATTTAAATTGGATTATAGACATCAATGTACTTTACCCCAAATATTTCAGCCTGTATAATTGACTATCAGAGTTCAGTATTGTTTGTGGTTCTTTTTTATTTTTTTTAATTAACATAAGTGAAATGTTGTACAATGAGTCCACCATTTAATGAGCTTTGGCAAATGTTTTTACATGTATAACCTAAGCACCTATCAAAATAGAGACTATTTCTGTCATTCTAGAAAGTTCTTTCATTTCCCTTCCTAGTCAGTGTCTTCCCCCAAGACACTCTCATAGGCAACCATTATTCTGATTTATTTAACTTTAGAGAAATTTTGCTTGTTTTGCTTCATATAAGTGGTATCATATAGTTTTTATTCTTTTGTGGAAGGCTGCTTTCATTCAGCATATTTTGAGATTCGTCATTAGTGTTTTGTTCTATTTTATTGCTTAGTATTGCATTGTATGACTATATCACACTTTGCTCATCTGCTTTCCTGTTGATGAACACCTGGGCTCTTTAGGTTTGGGCTGATATGAATAAAGCTGCTATGAAATTTTTTTTCCTATGAATAAAGCTGCTATGAAAATTTTTTTTCCTAATGATAAAGAAAAAAAGGTATAAAGTATGTAATATAAATAAAAATAAATATAAAATAAACATAAAAATACACAAAATGTGTGTCTAAACTAATTTTAAGTTACAATTCAGTGGCATTAAGTACACTCACAGTGATGTGCCACCATCACCACTATTCATTTCCAAACTTTTTAATCTCTCCAAATAGAAATTTCTCTAATCACTAAGCAGTAATTCCTGCTTCCCTCTCTCCCTATCCTTTGGTAACTTCTAATCTATTTTCTGTCTCTGAATTTACCATTTCTAGGCACGTCTTATAGGTGGGATGAGCCAATATTTGTCCTTCCATGTCTGGTTTATTTTGCTTAGCATTCATTCAAGCTGTAGCATATATCAGAATGCTATTCTTTTCATGGCTGAATAATATTCCATTGTATGGATATACCACAGTTTGTTTATCCGTTCATCTGCTATGCTTCTTTTGTGGCATTTAATGTGTTGTAAATATTTTACCTTGTATTATGTTTGTTTGGGTTCCTGTCCTGTTTCACAAGATGTAAGTTACCTGAGGGCAGACACACCTCCCTCCCTCCTGCTGAGTCTCTCACGTGCCCTGCTAAACCATTCTCCATTTCTAAAATTTTGTCACTTCAAAAATGTTATATAAATAGAATTCTATAATACTTAAAACTTTTGAGATTGGCTTTTTTTCACTTAGCATAATTCCCTGAAGACGCGTTCAAATTATTACTTGTATCAGGAGTTTGTCTTTATTACTGAATAGTGTTCGATGGTATGGATGTACCACAGTTTGTCTAAACCACTCACCTGTTAAAGGCTTTCTGGACTGTGTTCAGTTTCTGTCTGTTATACAGAAAGCAACTATAAACATTTATGTGCAGTTGTTGATGTGAACATAAAGTTTTCATTTATCTGGGATAAATGCCCCAAATCCAGTTGATAGATCAAATAGTAATTGTTTGCTTTTATTTATACAGAGCTCTCAAAGTGTTTTCTAGCGTGGGCATATTATTTTAGATTCCCATCAGCAGTGTCTAAGTGATCTAATTTCTCTGCATCTTTGCCAGCTTTTGGCATTTTTACTATCTTTATTTTATCCATTCTGATAGTATAGTGATATTTTGTTGTGGTTTTAATTTGTATTTTTCTGGTGAGTAAAAATGTTGTTCATCTTTTCATGTGCTTATTTGCCATCTGTATATCTTCTTTGGTTTAATGTCCATGTTTTTTGGCCATTTCTCATTGGATATTTTTCTGGTGAGTTTTAAGAGTTTTTTTTTTTTTAAGTTTATTTATTTATTTTGGGAGAGAGAGGGAGAACCAGAGGAGAAGGGGTGAGAGAGAGGGAGACAAAGGATCCGAAGTGGGCTCTGTGCTAATAGCTCAAACTCACAAAGCCATGAGATCTTTGCCTGAGCTGAAGTCGGAAGCTTAACCAACTGAGCCACCCAGGCACCGAGTTTTAAGACTTCTTTATGCAGCCTAGATACTAGTCCTTTGTCAGATTTTTTCCTAGTCTGTAGTTTGTCATTTTATCCTCTTCCCAGAATCATTCCCAGGGTAAAAAATAAAATTTTAATCAGGTCCAAATATCAGTTTTACTTATTTTGATTGGCTTTTATTTTAAGGCCTTCTATTTGTTTTAAAAGGGCGTATTAAAATTATACTCATGTTACAATTGTTATTATCACTGGCAGTTTTTCTAAAGCTTCTTAATGTAGAAGTGCCACAGAGACTGTTCATTTGTAAACCAGGTTTTCACAATAAACTTTCTAATTGAAGTTGTTTTTTTAAAAATGAGCATATTGCTTTGTAGGACTTGCTTTAAGAAAACTCGTTTCTTAAATTATAATGAGATGTATATGTATTATAATCTTTGCATTAAACATCACCTGTGTGTTATAGCTTATTTGAAGTAATATTTCTGTGTGAGATAAAAACCAGTGTGTAGTAAATATTGCATCAGAGGTTTTCTGACTTCATCATTTTTCCTTTTCTCATAGATTACGTGTCACATGAATCGTGAAATGATTATTGCTAGACTTCAGAAAAATCATTTTTATTTACTAAGTATATATGTCCATGTGCATGCTTCTAGTTGTAGAGAACAAAAGAGGTGGTATAAAATGAAAGAGAGGATAGAACTTGAGTTAGCTCTAATATTTCCTTTAATATTTGATGTGGTTAAAGATAAGAATGCACTTTTTAAATACAAAGCTAGTCTTTCTAGAGTAGTTTGGATTCATACATGCCTTGTGTTTAAGATATGTTACCTTCTATTTATTCAGTTCTCTATTTGAAGTTTACAACTACACATTTGTGCTGCAGCTGTTTCCCACATTGATTTGGTGTAGCAGAAAGAGCAGAGCATCAGATTATAGATCTCAGAAACCTGGGTCTGGCCTGCCATTTGCCCATAAAGGGGCATGTGGGTATAGCAAGTCACAGACTCTGAAACTTAGTTTTCTTTTCTGTAAAGGGAAGACATTTGATTCTTATCCTTTCTCTGCAGATGCTAAAGTTGTATGATTTTATGAACTTACAAAGAGTAACATTCCTCTTCCAATTTTAATTCCCACTGACAAAATTAAAGAACTTTAAAAGACCCTAAATTTTTTCCTAAAATTATTCATTGTGTTTAGACCATACTATCTAACCTTAATGAGCCAAGATTTGACCCAGTATGGCTAGGCTTTGTGGGAATACAAAAGATATAAATAATATGTGGTTCTTCCCTAAAGGAGCTTGGGTCTAACTGAGTAGCAAAATTAATGTACATTAAAAAAAAAAATGTATTTGTTGGCTTGGATACAATCAACCAAACACATTGTGGGAAATTCCATTAGACAAAATGACCCCATTTCTTTGACAATTAAATAGTGTAAAAAATTTTAAAAGCAGAGGGAGTCTGTTATATATTAAAAGAACTTAAGACACGTATCACTGATCAACCAAAAGCAAGTATAGGGTTGAGGAGTCTTGTGTGGACCTTGATTCAAATAAACAAGTTGTAATAAGACATTTGAGGAAATTTAACATGGATTAGTTATTAGATGTTATTAAGCATATTATTAGTTTTGTTAGATGTGATGATGCTATTATGGTTAGATTTAAAAAAGAAAAAAAATGACTAACTCTTAGATTCATCCTGGAATATATACAAGAACAAATAAATAAGTTAGGTGGAATCCTTTATAGCATATTGTCAATAGTTGTTCAAGCTAAGTGACTGGTATATGGGAGTTCATTATACTTATTCTTTTATTACTTCTAATGTGTGTTTTAAATTTTTTGTTCACACAAAAGGTTTAATATTTTTCTGGGTGATGAAGCACTAACTTAATTCATATTTGTGTAATATAAGTAGTACAGTCTTTGTTCAGTAAAATTGAGTGTGGCCTGACCTAAATAGAATTTTACCATTTCCAGAAGGAACCTTAAAGGGGGCCATAATGTAAGTTCGTTTCACTGTACATAATGTCAGATCGTTTCACTGTAAGAAACTGAGGCCCCCCAAAAAGGAAGTGACTTACCCAAGGCTACATTGCTAGTTAGTGACTGAGCCACTGTGAGAATTGACTTTGTCTTCTAATTTCTAGGTTCTAGCTCTTTCTACTTTTCGTATTTATCAAATATCCTTTCTGCCTTTGGTATGAGGTTCTGAAGAGTTTGTGGAATTTAAATTAACGTGGGGCGCTGGGGTGGCTCAGTTGGTTAAGATTCCAACTTCAGCCCAGGTCAGTGTCTTACGGGTTGTGGGTTTGAGCCCTGCATCTGGCTCTGTGCTGACAGCCAGCTCAGAGCCTGGAGCCTGTCTCTGGATTCTGTATCTCCCTCTCTCTCTGACCCTCCCCTGCTCACGCTGTCTCTCTCTCTCAGAAATAAATAAAACATTTAAAACAAATAAATCAAATTGACGTGTGCATACAGTGCTTACTTTGTTTTGTTTATTGTCCTCAGAATCCGGCCAGCCTATTTGTGGAAATGGGATGGTAGAGCAAGGTGAAGAATGTGACTGTGGCTACAGTGACCAGTGTAAGGACGAGTGCTGCTACGACGCAAACCAACCGGAGGGGAAGAAATGCAAGCTGAAGCCTGGGAAGCAGTGCAGGTACTGTGCCAGTTCCAGGGGTGCTCGCGCTCCTGTCAGCTACCTGAAGGCCCTCAGGACTGAGTTAAAACTGATGTTAAGAGATGCATATGGTTTTGAAACTTTGCCTTTATTTTCCGTCATTTTATTTATTTTTCCAGAGTAAAGTTGGTGAGTGCGCTGTGCTTGGCAGAGTGAACTGCTTATAATTGTAATTTGTGTGGTAGGTGTTAAAGAAAGACCTGCAAGGACGCTCAATGGAATATACACTTTTTAGTTCCCAGCTTATAAATGTGACTGTTATCTGTATTTTTAGAATCTTAACTTTTAAATATTTGGGAAATGTGCATTTATTCCGTAGACTCTTGTAATTAGTGTCATATGATTATTTCACTTGTCAAACTTGCTTTGGTAGTGATAGGTATAAGCAATGGAGTGTTGTTTGTGCAATACTCTTTAAATGGTTGGTCTGTGTATGCTAGTTTGACGTTAGCATATAAATGTGAGAAACATTGATGAATTGACAATGCATGATGTAACTATGAAAAACACTGATAACTCACCTAATATTAAATCCATTTGCTATTGTAGCCTTCCACTAGAGACAAGTAAATAAGACTGTTGAATATAATATGCCTTGATTGTAAAAATAAGACAATCACTTTTTTATTTACACTTAGAAAATATTGAAATTTAGCAGCCTCATAGTCCAAAATTTGAAGTTTTATACCAGTAACCTACTGAGTTTTAGTAGATGAGATTTAAAAGATGAGATTGCTGATTTAAAAATAAGGCCATATCTATATGTATAGGAAGTATCCTAATCATTTTCATTAATCATTTTAATGTTTATTCCAGCCCAAGTCAAGGTCCCTGTTGTACAGCACAGTGTGCATTCAAATCAAAAACTGAAAAGTGTCGGGATGATTCAGACTGTGCAAAGGAAGGAATATGTAATGGCATCACAGCTCTGTGCCCAGCCTCTGATCCTAAACCCAACTTTACAGACTGTAATAGGCATACACAAGTGTGCATTAATGGGGTAAGCATTTGATTTATAAGCTTTTTATTTTCATAAAACCTGATTTTTCAGAATAATTGTTTGTTATTTAAAGCTGAGGAGTTACAGTCATTAATCCTGATCACTCTTTCAACATATCCCAGTCTGTTTCCCCATAAAGCCATGAATGTACCATGTGGCATAGTGCCTGGTGGCATTCAGTTAGTTACTGACTTGCCTTTCATCTTGCCGCTGCACATGTTTGTTGGTCTCTAGAGAAGAATAGTTGTATGATGAGGCATGTGACTTCATACTGCTTTTGAGTTTTATAAATTAGCATTTTATCAGCCTCCATAAAAGAATTCTGGTCATTTTCTCTGTGGAGCCTTTAAAGCTTTCTTGGCTAAATAACCACTTACCTGTACATGAGGAAAATTTCGTTTTTCTCTTCTTACAAAGGAGCCATAATAACCAATCTAAATATGATGCTCATCTAATCTCTTTTCTGTTTTTGTTTTGTTTAGATTTTTTAAGTAGCCATTACCTTGAAAGAGTTCCTGTCTTATTAGCAGTTACCTCTTTTTCAAATGTGTATATCCGTTTCTGATACTAATCTATGGTTCTCCCCCCACTCTTACTTCTACTTAATTATATTAGCATCAGAGATAGATGTTTGTCTATTACTGTGAATTATAGACTTGACTGTATAAGGATTAAATAACTGGTCTTTTATTTTTCTTTCAGCAATGTGCAGGTTCTATCTGTGAGAAGTACGGCTTGGAGGAGTGTACCTGTGCCAGTTCTGATGGCAAAGATGATAAGGAATTATGCCATGTCTGCTGTATGAAGAAGAGTAAGGCTTTAAAAATGCAGGAGTGTAAAATCTGTTACAAAACCAAATTGTCTCCTAAAAAATATTTTTTTAAGTAAACTATACCCCCATTGTGGGGCTCAAACTCATGCCCCCAAGATTAAGGGTCATGTGCTCTACTGACTGAGCCAGCCAGGTGCCTCATTTTTCTCCTAAATTTTAGGCATTAAACTTTGATATCCAGTTTGGACAGATAATTTCCACCTAAACCAATCCCTCATGGATATTTTCAAGTGTAGCTATAGGATTATATTCCTAGTATTAGTCCCTTCAGTGTTTTAAATTTTTTTTAAACTTTTTTTTTTTTGTTTTTAAATTTCTGAGAGAGAGAGACAGCATGAGAAGGGGAAGGTCAGAGAGAGAGGGAGACACAGAATCTGAAACAGGCTCCAGGCTCTGAGCTAGCTGTCAGTACAGAGCCCGATGCGGGGCTGGAACCCACGAACCGCGAGATCATGACCTGAGCTAAAGACGGCCGCCCAACCGACTGAGCCACCCAGGCGCGCCCCGCCCCCCCCATAGTGTTTTAAAAAATGATAAGCTAGACAAAAACCTTCCAGCTTTATGGCAATAATTAATATAAAAACTGTTAGAGGGTTTTAAAGCCATTGTAGGTACTAGGTCAAGAGTTGCTGGCTATTTATATTGCGGGGTTTTTTTTTTTTTTTTTAAAGTTTATTGATTTATTTTGAGATAGAAAGAGAACCAGCAGGGAAGGGCCAGAGAGAAAGGGGATCAGACGATTAAAAGTGGACTCTTTGCTGACAGCAGGGAGCCCGGTGGCTGAGCTTGAACTCACTTATCATAACATCATAACCTGAGCCAAAGTTAGATGCTCAACTGACTGAGCCACCCAGATGCTCCTGTATTGTATATTTAAGGCTAATTACCAGTGGTGTTATCTAGCCTAACTAATGAAAGTCTGTATAACATGTCATGGTAGTGATTTTAGGCAGTTTTTTCCTTTCTTCCCTCTGTCCCCAGCTAGCCTGGTAGGAAATCTGATCTTCAACTTACATTTGGCACTTCTTTTCCAGTGGATCCATCAACTTGTGCCAGTACAGGGTCTGTGCAGTGGAGCAAGCACTTTGTTGGTCGAACCATCACCTTGCAACCTGGATCCCCCTGCAATGATTTTAGAGGCTACTGTGATGTTTTCATGCGGTGTCGATTAGTAGATGCTGATGGTCCATTAGCTAGGCTTAAAAAAGCAATTTTTAGTCCAGAGCTCTATGAAAACATTGCTGAATGGATTGTGGTAAGTATAGTTTTATTTATAAAGAAACCTCATCTTTAAATGGTTTTATCATAATTTTACTTGGTCAGCGGTCACCAATGTTATGAGAAAATCACTTCTTTCCTATTTATACCAGAATTACTTTACCCGAAGAATGATTTTTAATGTTCAAATATCCCCGTGTATTATTTTCTTTTAAAGCGATTAGAATCTCCACATGTATATTGTTTGTATATTAATTTGTAGATGATGGGAGTCCTTCTATTTTACTTTGCTCCCTGGTTCTTCTCCCGAATGGCTTACTTCCCCCTTTGGTCAATATTGTTAGGGCATTTTCGTGGGACTTTTTCTCAAGTTGTTTTGGAAAGCCTTGCCTGCTTTTTATATTTCTCCCTTGTCTCAGTATGACAGATAGCCAGCTGTGGCATCTACTTTATGGAACAGGAGAAATGAAAAAGAAATTGGTGACTTTCTGAAGGTTTTTTCTGCTGTCTTAGTATAATTTCTTGGTCTTTATCTTGTCAGTGATCTGAAATATTGAACAGTTAAGATGTGGTACTGAGCCTTTTGCCAATTTGTTAACGATTATGGATGTTCATCCAGCATAAACCCACTGAACTTTATTATTTTTAAGTCCATAATTCTCCAAGCTGCACAGATGTTGAATTACCTGATATTTTCTTAAAAGACTGCTGAGAATGACTATCTAAAGTCACTTAAATATTCACATTTCTAAGTGATTACATTAAAATATCAGTAGGAAATACGCAAGTGATAATATATATTTGAGCATGTGCTCTATATCTGAATTGAAGGAGTTTGCTTTGGAAATTGACTTAGAGCTCAGCTTTTCCTCCCTTCCCCCATTCCCAAATTATTTCCTACATTCTTTGTGTGCATTCAGCCCTGAGGATTCCTTAAAAGGATAAAAAAAGTCATCTGTAGGTTGTGATCCTTTTTGGTACTCTTGTAATAACATTAGTAATAAAAACTTTGGAATTATCTCTACCATTAAAATGCATTTATTATACATAGGAAGAGTAATACTGTATTATACGTGCTAGAATATATGATTTTTAGACCTATAGTGATTATGAGATAGGAGGATCATTCATTCAACCTGGATTTAGGAAGCCTAGCTTTTGTTTATTTTTAGAGAATACTTTACTTTTTTTTTTTTTTTTTTTATTTAAGCCCTATGCCCAACGTGGGGCTTGAATTCACTACTCCGAGATTGAATATTGCATACTCTACTGACTGAGCCAGCCAGGTGCCCCTAGGAGACCTAGGTTTTAAACCAGAAATGGGTCAATTTATTTAACTTAAATCTCTTTAAAACATATGTTACTCATTTTTGTACTCCTGTGCTTGGCGCATAGTAAGTATTCAAAAAATATCTGTTAAGCTAAAGGTGCCTTTGGCATTGTGGCAAAATGGAGAGTACAGCCTTGGGAATTATGCAAGGATTCGTATCATCCCCTGGCATTTGTCAGTTCTGTGACTTCAAGTAGCTTACCTTTCTTGGCCCTTTACTTCCCTCTTTCCATTCAGATCCAGTTCTTTTTCCTTTTTCCCCTGATTATCACTAATAAGAAGTTGAGGTATGGTATACTTGTCTACTATAGAGGACAATGCATTTAAAAAGTAATCTTATAATGGAGATCTCAGAGTTATATTCTACTGAGTATATGTTGTACCAGGTATTTTAGGTTTTCCAGGTAGTGAATCATACCTAAAAATAATACTTTTTTACTTTTCTCCATTATCTCAATTTTGACTCATTTTATTTAGTGTTTCAAAAGCTCATTCATTCCTATTTTTAAAAAAATTTAATGGAAGTGATCTCTTAAAAGAATTTTTAAAAACTGGGGCGCCTGGGTGGCTTAGTTGGTTAAGCGTCCGACTTTCGCTTAGGTCATGATCTCGCGGTTCATGGGTTCGAGCCCCGCGTCGGGCTCTGTGCTGACTGCCAGCTCAGAGCCTGGAGCCTGTTTCAGTCTGTGACTCCCTCTCTCTGACCCTCCCCTCCTCACGCTGTGTCTCTCTCTCTCTCCTAGAAATAAATAAAAACATTTAAAAAAAAATCTTAAAAAAAAAAAGAATTTTTAAAAACTTTTTTCATATTTAGGGGTGCCTGGGTTGCTCAGTTGGTTGAGTGCCCGTCTGACTCTTGATTTTGGCTTAGGTCATGATCTCAGGGTTTGTGAGATTGAGCCCTATGTTGGGCTCTGTGCTGACAGCATGGAACCTGCTTGGGATTCCCTCCCTCCCCCTCCCCCTCCCCCTGTCCCTCTCCCTCCCCCTGTCCCTCCCCCTCCCTCTCTCTCTCTCTCGCAAAATAAAAAACTTAAAAGGTTTTTTCATATTTAGATTTGAGGATTTAGTGAAATGCTTATTATGATAAATTAGCAATATGAAGGCTTTTCTTTTGTTGTGAAACCGTTTAATCAGGTACTTTTAGGTTGTTTTTAAAAATCTAAATGGAGAGAAGGATCCTCACTCACATGGAGCCTGATGAAAGGCTCAGTCTCCCAACCATGAGATCATGACCTGAGCCAAAGTCAAGAGTCAGATGTTCAACCAACTGAGCCACCCAGGTACCTCAGAAGTTTTTCTTTTTTATTATTATTCTGATAAGAATTGGTTGTTATTTCAGGGCTCCTGGATTGCTTAGTTGCTTAGGCGTCCAACTTTGGCTCAGGTCATGATCTCATGGTTTGTGGATTCGAGTCCTGCATCAGGCTCTGTGCTGACAGCTCAGAGCCTGGAGCCTGCTTCTGATTCGTTGTCTCCCTCTCGCTTTGCTCCTCCCCCATTCTCTCTCTTTCTCTCTCTCTCTCTCTTTCAAAAATGGACATTAAACAAATTTTTAAAAGGAATCAGTTATATTTCTCATTTTTAAATTAATTTCTGCTTTCAAATTTTGCTATAACTTTATGAATCTACATATTAAGTATCTGTTATTCTTTATGAAATATTTAGGCCAGTGTTTCCCAAGTGCCACATACAACACAGTGTCCATGGGTTTGATGGTCCCTTGAATCTGGAAAACATTGCATACTGTAGTATCCTCTTAGGTATTTATGAGACTACTGTGGGAAGTCCTACAGTAAAAAAAATCTTTCAATTTCATTTTTCCAACTTACCTGATCCCAGAAACCTTTATTCATTCATAAGCCTTATTAAACTCTACATATCCGTAGATTTCACTTGGGAGAACAGTGGTTAAGATCAGTAATTCTTATTCCTGGTTGTTCATTACTTAGGGCTTAGACTAATTCAGAATCTCATGGGATGGGGCTTAAGTATCTCGGTCTTTTAAAAGCTACTCAGCTATTTTTGGTAAACAGCCAGGATTGAGAACCAGCCAGCCATTCATCTAGAACCAGGGGTTGGCATACTGTGGTTCATCAGCCAGATCTACCCCATTGCCTGCTTTTGTATGGCTCACAAGCTAAGAATGGTTCCACATTTTTAAGTAGTTGAAAAAAATCAAAAGATGTTATTGAAATACTCCATTGAAAATAAGAAATTCAAATTTCAGTGTCCATAAATAACGATTTATTAGAACATGGCCACATCCATTCACTTATATATTCTCTGTGGCTGCTTTTGCACTTTGAATAGTTGCAACAGAGACTGGCTCCTCAAATTTAAAATATTTATCTGGCCTTTTCGAGGAAATGTTTGCTAACCCCTAGTCTGGAGCAGTGGATCTCAAACTATAGATCCCTGACAAACAGCGTCAGCATCTGGGAACTTGATAGAAATGCACATTATCAGGCCTCACCCCAGATCCACTGAGTCAGCAGGTGATGGCGCATGCTCAAGTGTGGGAACTGTTTTTTTCAGTCTCTACAGTGTTAGGACTCCTTTTTGAAAGGCTTATAACAGAGATTTTCTACTTTGTCATCCTCATCTGTTGAAATGGAGGGTGGGTCTGGACCTCTAAGGGTCCTCAGTGCCTAGTGGAATCGGTCACATAGCTATCACTTGTGAACCTTTAACAACAAAGATGCACTGTTGTCTCAGGGCTTAGTATATGGTAAGATTCAGTATACATTTGTTGAATGAACGAAGCAGATTTCTTAAATGTCATAATTTATATGGAAAAGAATAAAAATTGTGCATATTGTCTTCACTTTGAAGCAATACTGTCTTCAGGTTTCTCTCAGTAGTGTTTTACCCTGCTTGCCTAGGCTGTGCTTAAAGTAACTAAGAGATTAGTAACCAATGCTTTCAGCTTGGCAGATTGGTGTGAGGAGTGGCATGTGGCGGGGTTGAAGGATAGAACAACATTCAAGCAAAGTCTAGACAACAGTATATTCTGAAGGGGAGAAGGGAGGCTTTCTACCCCTGTAGGATGGCAAAATCAGGATCACTGCAAGGAGTGGTGGGCCTGACAGGGTTTTGTGAGCCCCAGGAAGTCTAGAGTGCATTTGTGGAGAGTTGAGTTGTCAAACGCTGGAACATGCGCTGAAAAGATTGTATGGTCGACTTTTTCTAGAGACGTTTAAAAACAGTAAAGACTCATATCTGAAGAGACTTGAATGTATGTCTTGCCTCTTCCCCCTTATGGTTTCGGTTTTTTTGTTTTTTGGGTTTTTTTTGGTGGTGGGAGGGTGATACCTGTTCTAGCATTTTATAATCCTGTAGGTCTATTTTGTTTATTTAGATTATTTAATAAAAAACTAGCATAATTAGTATATAATCAATTAGACTGGTAAATTTTGACCTTTTATTTTGTAGTTTTTACTTATTTTTTCCTCTTTGTGTTCTTTTGGCCACATAAATGACTGTGTTGAATAATATCTATGTTTTGTGTAGTATTATTTTCTCAGACTTGATTTAGTGCTTGGTAACGTCAGGGCTGTATTTTAACCTCTTGGTTATCTTGTCTTTGTCTCTTCAAGTGTCACTTAGCACCCTTGTATCTATGAAAGACAAGTTTGGTGCATAATTTACACTCATTAAATGTTTGTTGAGTAAATGATGACTTTCCTTTCTTGTGGATTCTACCAGGTGTACATGTTGTGATCTTTCCTTACAGATGAAACACATATTTTGCATTTATTAGCCTGGTTTGGTATTCTTTCCCCTGATTTTATAATTTAAGCATGCAATTTAGTATTTAACTAATTCTGTGATAATTCTCTTTTATTTTTTAAATATTTATTTATTTTGAGAGAGAGATGGGGGGGGGTTTGGGGGGAGAGAATCCCAAGCAGGCTCTGCACTGCAGTGCAGAGTACAATATAGGGCTCAAATCCACAAACTGTGAGATCATGACCTGAGCCGAAATCAAGAGTCAGATATAACCAGCTGAGCCACTTAGGTACCCCTGGCGGATGGTTTTGAGCAGGGAAGACTGGAAGGAAGGAATGGTGTTAGAGAATGTAATGAACATTAGGAATAGACAAGCATCTCCTGTAATTAGCCCATCAGCCTAAAAGTAGTAGGAAAACCATGATCTTTTCTGCTTATGGGCTGGATCACTCTAGAGGTGGTAATTCTTCCCTAGAGGGAATTTGAGAATGTACAGTAGTTGTCAGAGTAACTGAAGGCCTCTACCAGCATTTGACAGACGAGGGTTAGGGATGCTAAACTTCCTGTATTGCTCAGAATGGTTGTGTACCACAATGGCGTGTCTACACTGGTGTGCTTGTTTAAGATGCAGTTTCCTGGGTCCTTCACCAGAACAACTGAATTGGAATTTGTAGGGTTGTGGCCTAAGAACCTGTGTTTTAATAAACATATCAGATAATTCTTAGATCTACTGATAGGAACCATCCCTTTACCATAGGAGTGCCGATTATTTGAGCAGCTTTTCCCAGTCATAGGACCCTCTCTATAGCCAGCCATATGCTCTCAGCTTCTCCCAGAATTTTCAGGCAGATAGTTGGGATAGAGATTTAGAACTAAAGAGTTCGTGTTAGATGGTATACATTTAGATAGAGGCTCCAAACTAATGTCCTGTATGTGGATGTAGAATAGGGGTTGACAGACCATGGCCCATGGGTTGGATCTGACCTGCTCCCAGTTTTTGTAAATAATGACTTACTGGAATACAGCCACACTTAATTGTTTGCATGTTCTATATGGCTGCTTTTGTACTAGAATGCAGAAATGAGTAGTTTGACAGAGACAAGCCAAAAATATTTATTGTTTGGCCTTTTATAGAAAAAGTTTGAGACCAATGGTTCTCAGTCTTGGCTGCATAATGAAATACTGCATAATAAAATTACTGATGTCATTGTCCCACTTCCACCCCATTTGGGTCTGGGATTTGCTCTGGGTATCTTGAATTTTAAAAGCTTTCCAGGTGATTGTAACATGCCAAACCAAGGTTGAGAACCAGTGGTATAGAGCAGGAAGAACACTTAAAATAGTACAAACTGGTGATTTTAGTTTTTTATGTATTTTACTAGGTCAGAGTGTCAGAAATGCAGACAGTGGAGGGAGAAGAAGGTCCTATTTCATTAAGTGGCACATTTAAAAGGGTTCCGGATGCTGGAAACATGACAGAAGCTGTGCATATAGACTATGGAAAATTCATGTAACAAGAGAGAGGAAATATTATCCTAAAGACTCACAGGTAGAGCAATGCTCTGGAAGTTATTTTCTGTAGAAACTGAAAGAAAACTTTAGAAGATTCTCTGACAATCTCAGTAGGATACAAGAAGTGGACTCTGAAAAGTAGATTGTAAACTTGTGGTTTCCAACCAGGATTCAGTTCTGTAAACATGTCTTGTAAGGTCTGTGTATTGTTTTTAGAAATTTTGAGTGAGTTGCCAGCATTTAAAAATAGATTTCACATAAAAATTGAGATTGATAGCTTCTGTTGAAAAATCACATCTTTCAGCAGTGAAGCTGAATTGCATTACCTCTCTCTTTTTGAACAGTATATTTCTAAAGCCATTAGGTGAGGCCAAGTGAGGTGGGCATCCGTGCCAAGTTGGGGGAGCTATAGTGGTACAGAGCAGGGTGTTAGAGCCTGAGCAGAGTAGGGAGGGTGAGGAATGGGGAAGAAGACCAATAGGAGGTGTTAAAGCCCAAGTGGGTGAGAATGGTGCCTTGTGGAGGGGCAGGTGGCTTGGAATATCACAGTACAAGTGTTGTGAGAAGGGTGTCTACATAGGAGGGGCAGTTCTAACGGGAGCCAGGGCTACTTGGAGAAATGGCTGATTTGAGGGCTGGGGCAGGGAAGGAACAAGATAAACCTAGAATTAATTGTGCCAGAAAGTGAAGTGCTCAAAGACTGGTAGGGACATGTTCAAAAGACACACTGTGATAGTAGTGGATTATAACCCATCGAATACAGTAGGAAATCATGCAGCAATACTGAATGAAATGAGTACATTGAAAGTTTGATGAAGAACAGGACATTCACATAGCTCCAAGTTATGTCCCTACAGAATACTCGCTGACTACAAAAAATATCTCTGTGGTAAAATTTGGCAGATAACAACCTTAATCAAGTGATCAGGTTAACATATCAGTCACGAGATCAAAAACCTGTGTCACCTGATGGAATGCAATGAGAACAACACAGCATCACTTCTATGATTCTTACTAAAGATGTCTGACCTGAATCTAATCATAGGGACACATCCAAGAAATCTAAACAGAGGGACATCCAATACAAAGTAACTGGCCTGTAATACTCAAAAGTGTCAAGGTTATGAAAGCCAAGGAAAGACTGTACAACTTTCCCAGATTTTAAGAGACTAAAGAAATACAGCAGCTAAATGCAACACATAATTCTGAATTGTATAGTAGTGGGACATGGCAAAACTTGAGTGGGGTCTGAGGATTAAATGGTAGTAATGTATCTGTGCTAATTTACTGATATTGATCAGTGTGTTGTGGTTTATCTAGAAAACTCCTTATGGTGTAAAAACTACATGCTAAAATGTTTAGGTATCAGGTATTAGCAGAGCATCATGCTAGCAATTTACTCTTAGGTGGTTCCAGTTTTAAAAAGTTTGTTGTAGTATCAACTTTTCTGTAACTTTAAGATTCCTTCAAAATAAAACAAACTTTAAAATAAATTTGTATATGAAAGACTTTATGCACACATGAAAAAAGTGGCTTGGGGTATTTTCCACAAGATGTATTTTTATTTTAGTTTTTATTACTTTAACTTTGTTGTCACTGCTGGATTAAAAAACCAAAAGATGTAGTAGGCTGTTATAAGACCTCGTATCATAGAAAATCTTAAATGGGAGTTTCTTGGGCTATAATTAGCAATAACTATACATGTAATATATCAGTCTGTGTTAAGCCAATGTGAAGGTTATGAAGTTGTTACTATTTTGTGTGATGCTTATTATTACTTAATTATCTTAAACCCAAATCTGAGTACTTTGAATTCCAAAGTAGACTTAGAATTTATTAAGAATAGAAACAGTAATTTTTCTATAAATAAGATTATACTAGTAATATTCAAAGTTTTTTTTGTTGGCTAATTGATTTGTTTATAAGATTTAAGCTAGAAGTAAAAGTTTTATTTCCTTCTTAGGATAAACTTTGCTTGTAGAATGTGTATATCCTTCCATTTTTCATAATAAAAAAGACAACCTTTCAATGAATTTAAATAATAGATATTATGATACAAATATATAGTATATAGTATATAAAATACAATGAAACCTAAGTTTTATGTTAAAATAATTTCGTAACAGTAGTCTGGGGCTTAAAATGAAATAAAATAACAAGAAAAGGGGGGAGACTCAAAAGAGATAGAATTTAGTATTAACTTGACGATTAAAAAAAGTATATGTAAGATTATTTTTAAAATATATCTAGAAGTAGAATTTAAAGCAACAAATACACCCTCTAAGCCGTTGGAGAATATAAAGGCAAACAGACATCGTTTATAAGAATAATAGGCCAAAAAATAAGTAAATAAAAAAGAGGGACATAATTCAAACCATAAAATAATTAATAACATGGGAAAATACAGTATAAACTATATGCAGGATGGACCTAGTTTTGCATGTGAGTTTATCGTGTGTATGACCAACATAGCTATATCTAGAAAAGAAACTGAAAGAAAAATAAGATTGAGTGGTTTCATCTAGGGTGTGAAATTATGGGTGATTTTTGTCTTTTTCGTTCATATTTCTGTGACATAAAAAAAAATCTATATGTGCTTTATATATAGTATCTGTACAACTCCAAGTGAACAACTGTCCTTCAAAAATTAAAATGTAATATATATATTTTATGTAATATAAAATATCCTAAAATATTTTACAGGGTTTTTAGTAGAGAAATCTGTTTTTTTTCTAGGCTTATTGGTGGGCTGTATTACTTATGGGAATTGCCCTGATCATGCTAATGGCTGGATTTATTAAGATATGCAGTGTTCATACTCCAAGTAGTAATCCAAAGCTGCCTCCTCCTAAACCTCTTCCAGGTAAGATAGTCTGAACAAGACATGTATTTTTATAACTCAGAACTGGTCAGTGGGTAGAATTGAATTCTAAATGAGTCTTTAGTAACTAATTTTATAGTACTTTCTCCTTGAGAATGAGATCACTGGATGAATTATTTGGTTGAGTTTTAAGTGTGTTTTTTGTGAATCCATTCTAGCTTATGGCTGCCAATTTAATGCTAATCTATCATGAGTCACTAAAAATATTTAGACCTGGAAAATTTATTTTTGCCTGATACTTGTTTAATTTTTCATATTCTAAAATCTTCCCTTGTTTGTTGTTGTTTTTATTATGATAGGCTACTTTTAAATGATTGGTTTTTCTATTCTAATAGCTGTACTTCTGTTATTGTTTCTAGTGTCTATGCTCTTGAAACATTTGCTGGCACATAAACTCATTTTTCCTACGGTTGATGCTTATGGGGAGATACAGATGACAGTCTGTGGGAGGGTCTTAGGGTAGAGGCTTCAGTCACCAAGTAACCATAGTTACTCCCCATCTCTGAAAATAAATCCTGAGGTTTGGTCTCTACCCTTTACCTCTCATGGAGACACAGCGGGAGGAGGCTTTCTTTAGATTAACTCCAGGGATTTGGAGAAGAAAAGAGTATGAGGCAACTGCTCCAAGTTATTTAGTCCCCATGTATTTCTCCCTCACCTTCCCCAAGGTATTTGTGGCTTTTGTGCTGCCCTCAAAATGCCCAGACCAGAACTTTTCACTCTAGGAGTATGGCATACATCACCTCATGACAGTGGCAGAGGACAGCTGTTAATTTCTTAGGGATTTCTAAGGGCCACATGACACTCTTTAGATATGTTACCATTTACGGTCTCATGCAGTGTAACAGGTCTTTTACTTGATTTCACTTTAAGCAAATTTCACCTTTCCAAACTTAAACCAGCAACCCTATCTTTTATTGAACACTCACAAAAAACCACTTTTACGTGAATTGTCATATAATCTTTACAGATTATATAGATAGACTATATGAGTTCGTTATTATCCCTGGTTTACAGACAGGGCATCTGAGTTCCAGAGAGGTTAAGTCATTTGCTCAAAGGGACTCAGTAGTTTATTCTTCATGGATCCTGTCCTCAGAATCTAATAATTAACCTAATTATTAATTATTAATAATTAACTATTAATCTAATAGTTAACTATTAATCTAATAGTTGTATCTGTTGAACACTTGAAATGTGGCTAGTTTAAATTGAGATGTGTTATAAAATACATACCAGACTTGGAAGGTTTCATATACAAGAAAGAAGGAAAATAGTTCATTAATACTTTTTTGTATTGATATACCTTGAAATAATATTTTGGCTATATTGGATTAAGTGAAATAAAAAAAATATTAACATGATTTTGCCTGTCTTTTTGACTTTTTTTATTATGGCTACCAGAAAATTTTAAATTACACATATAGAAAGTGCTGCTCTAGAACGTTTCTTATTGAAGTGTGTCCCCTTTGTTTTTTAAGATTAAAAAGTATACAGTGAATCTGTTTTACTTTTGTTGTGATTCACAGGCACTTTAAAGAGGAGGAGACCTCCACAGCCCATTCAGCAACCCCAGCGTCAGAGGCCCCGGGAGAGTTATCAAATGGGACACATGAGACGTTAACTGCAGCTTTTGCCTTGGTTCTTCCTAGTGCCTACAATGGGAAAACTTCACTCCAAAGAGACACCTATTAAATCATCATCCCCAAACTAAGCCCTCACAAATACAGTCGAAGAAAAAAATGGCAAGAGATCATGTCCTCAGACCAGGTGGAATTACATAAGTTTTAAAGCCTGAAAATTCCAATTTTTGGGGTGGGGGGATGGAAAAGGAACCCAATTTTCTTATGGACAGCTATTTTTAATGTAATGGCACAAAGTCTTAGAATATTATGATGTGCCCCGTGTTCCCTGTTCTTCGTTGCTGCATTTTCTTCACTTGCAGGCAAACTTGGCTCTCGATAAACTTTTATCACAAATTGAAATATATATATATTTTTTTCAACTGCCAATCAAGGCTAAGGAGGCTCGACCACCTCAACATTGGAGACATCACTTGCCAATGTACATACCTTGTTATATGCAGACATGTATTTCTTACGTACACTGTACTCCTGTGTGCAATTGTAAACAAATTGCAATATGGATGTTTCTTTGTATTATAAAATTTTTCCGCTCTTAATGAAAAATTACTGTTTAATTGACATACTCAGGATAACAGAGAATGGTGGTATTCAGTGGTCCAGGATTCTGTAATGCTTTACACAAGGCAGTTTTGAAGTGAGAAACAATTTACCTTTTTATAATGATGGAGTCGGTTCTGATATTCATCTTGTCTTCATCAAATGGCTGCTAAGAGCACATGAGCGGCTATGCTGAAGAACACAGTTACGTGTGCAGACTGGACATATGCAGCATACTACTTCAGAGTTAGTTCCTACACAGATGTCTCATTTCTGCTTACTTATTTTAAACTTTCTAATTCAATTCCAGTTTTGAATTGATAGGTGAAATTTTATTCATGGCTTTGGTAGAAATTATGTCAATGAAATGATTTTTTTTGTTTGTTTGTAGCCTGTTATTTGTGCTTTCCATATATCTAAAGTATGCTAATTATGTTTTTGGTTTTCTCTGATCTGGAAAAGAAAAGCTGGGTCTTTTATTTTATCAAAGTACCAGAACAGTTTTTTCAGCATATTATCACTGATCATTGGTAACCACTAAAGAAGGGTGATTTGCTCAACTAGTAGTTAAAATTGTAGATAGGCCTTCTGACTTTTTTTTTCCCCTAAAATATTTTAACAATGAAGGTGAAACAGCACAATGTCCCATTCCAAATTTATTTTTTAAACAGATGTAAATAATTGGCTTTTTAAAGAAAGAAAGCAAAATCATTTAATGTATTAACAGGCTTATTGCTATGCAGGAATGGAAGGGGGCATTATAAAAAAATTTTAAGCTTGTGACATATTTATTGCTTCTGTTTTCCAACTACATCACTTAAATTAGAAGTAAACAGCTATGATTTTTCTGGCTTCACATAGGAGGCAAATTTAGGGAATGGTGAAAAGATTTGTGTTTTTGGCTTTTTTTTTTTCCTTTTTGTTTCTTAAGAGTATAAGGTTTACACAATCATTCTCATAATGTGACGCAAGCCAGCAAGGCCAAAAATGCTAGAGAAAATAATGGGATCTCTTCCTTGTAAACTTGTACAGTATGTGGTGACTTTTTTCAAAATACAGCTTTTTGTACATGATTTAGAGACAAATTTTGTACATGAAACCCCAGATAGACTATAAATAATTCTAAACAAACAAGTAGGTAGATATGTATGTAATTGCTTTTAAATCATTTAAATGCCTTTGTTTTTGGACTGTGCAAAGGTTGGAAGTGGGTTTGCATTTCTAAAATGGTGACTTTTATTCTGCAAGAGTTCTTAGTAACTTCTTGAGTGTGGTAGACTTTGGAACATGTACATTTTTTGCCTGTAATGTTATCCTGTGGTAGGGTTTTGGCAGGTACACACTGCCCTATTTTATTTTGAGTCTAAGTTAAATGTTTTCTGACAAGAGATACGTGCACTGAACTCTTTCCACTGCAAATCAAGATGTGGTAAAACAAAAGGATCAAGACAAATGAGATCTAATACTACTGTCAGTTTAATGTCCACTGTGTTTTATACAGTATCTTTTTGTTCACTTTGGAAATTTTTACTAAAAATTGCAAAAAATAAAGTATTGTGCAAAGATGTAAGGTTTTTTGAAACTTGAAATGCATTAATAAATAGACTTGATGAAATCAACTCAAAGGATTCCATACTCTTTGAACTCTGAGAACTATCAAAAGAAGCTTCTCACAAAGCAGCACTTCCTTACTGAAAGAGATTAGTAAGCAGAAAGATGATTGTCTCTTTTTATACACATACAGATATTATTATTCCTAGTTAGGAGTCCCTGAAAAAAATTTATGATTAGATATTTCTGTAACTACATACAAGGATCATTTAAAAAAAAAAAACACTTACCTAATCTCAACTGCTTTATTTTATTTCTAAATAATATTCAAAATATTTAAAAATCTTTGTCTTGGTAGAAAAGCAGAGCCAATTTGGAAACTGTGGTCTTACATATATTTTGCAAAGGTTTGAATGCTAAGTACCTCATTTATTTTCAAAGTCTGTTTTAGTAATAAGAATGATTTAAAATTTGGAGCCACATTTTCCTGTTTTGTCAAATTCATAGCAAATAAGGAGAGAACTGACAGTTAATCTCACCTAGAAAAAGAATTGTAAACCCAGAATGATGCCCTGCACAGAATAGTCTGCCCCCAGTTTTTTTAAAAATCAAGACCAGGCATAAATAAGTAGTATTTGTTAAATGTGTAAGTATGTAATACTTTTAGTTACTGTGATTTGTAAACATTAAAGCATATCATACTTAATTTTGTATGTGAAGCCATCAATATTAATTCAGATGATTGCAAATTTGTTGTTTTTACTTGGAATTGAGTGCCTAAATTTTGTTGAGAATGTTTTTCTCCCTAAGTTTTCTAAATGCAAACAACTCACAAAATCAATAAAGTAAATGATTGTAGTTTTTGGAGTTCGTGTTCCCCATAGCTCCAGGCAAGATCTAGCAGTTTGGGGAAGGACTTTTTAGAGGGAAAGACAACTTTATCTGACCTGTTTTCTGAGGTGTCTTCAGCCCTTTGTGTTTAGGGACTTCATTCTTGTCATATTCACAGCCTGGTAAAAACTGAAGATTTCTCCAAATTGAGCAAACTCCCTTCCAGTTCTTTCTCTGTCTATGCAGCTGGTACGTGTTAAGATTAATAATGATTATTATTTCTCCAAAGATGGGATTAGTGTCCTTGGCAGCTGTGTGGTTGTGGGGGCTTGTGCTTCAGGAGGCTTTTCATTTCTTGTTAATAAGCATTTCTAATGCAAAGTATAAGAGGATTGGGATAGTAAACACATTGCAAAAATGGACAGGCCATCTTCGGGGTATGAGAGGAGATGTTCTGTATCTAGATTTAAAGGGTCTGTGTCTCCCCTAACTGGAGAGAAGTTAGATAGAGATATTGGAAGCAGCTGCCAGGGACAGTTCATCTATCTTTAAAGAAGTCTAAATTTGCAATAAATTGGGAGTTTCCTGAAAAACATTTAAAAGCTTTTCTTATTGTTTATTATTTATTTTTGAGAGCGAGACCGAGCACAAGCAGAGGAAAGTCAGAGAGAGAGGGAAACACAGAATTTGAAGCAGGCTCCAGGCTCTGAGCTGTCAGCAGAGCCCGATGTGGGGCCTGAACTCTTAAATCTCGAGATTGTGACCTGAGCCGAAGTTGGACCCTTAAGCGACTGCACTATCCAGGTGCCCCATGAAAAACATTTTTTGACTTCTAAGTAATAAATATGGTCATTTTGTCCCACAGGGCTCAGTTTCAGTTTCAGCATTTCTGGTTTTACGTTCTTGATTAAAAACAACTTCCATTTAAATCTCTTTTTCCACTTATTACTGGTTTGGTTTTTCCATGATTGTGTCTGTATTGAGTCCTTTATATTGTTAGCATACAAAGTGAGCCCTTCTGTGCTATATTGCAGTTTTGTTTGTGTGTCTTAGATATATACATGTGTGCACTATTTTCAGTAGACGTTCATATATTTTATAATTGATAAGCCCTTCAGAGTATGTGCACTCTCCCATAAAAAGCAATGGGATGCTAGGTAAATTGGAAGGTTGAGCAAAATATTTATTAGCCTCTGCTCTTTCCTAAGATCTCCATTAAAGTCATAGTGACTGGGAAAAGAAGAGAGCATAATCCAACAAAGACAAGGAATATTGAAGAGAAGACAACAAAAACAAAATTTTAGAAACTGGAAAGCAGGAAGAGTAGTATCTGATTTGGGAGGTCCAGGGAGACCAAGTCCTAAACCAGCAGTGGAAGCAGGAGAATGGCCTGGTCTGCCCTGGTAAGATTTTGGAATATAGCCTTCAAGCCTTCTTTCCTAGGCATGTGGCTAAAGGCATAATATGAACACTACTGTACCCATCTTTCTTATTTAACAATATATTGAAACAGTATCTACATCATTTTAATGACTGTAAAGACTTCATTCTGTGGATATAAGACTTCATTCTATGGATATACTGTACATTCTTAAAATTAACCTATTCCTTGTTGTTTTTATGTATAGATTCTATTCCCTGTTGTTTGTATATATAGATTTTTATATTGTTTATTATTTTAAACAGTCCTACAAAAAAAAATCCTAAACCTTATTAATAAATTCCTACAAGTGGAATTGTTGGGTTAAAGGTTTTTTGAGGGTCATGGATAAAAATTATGATACCGTCTTTCAGAGAGATGGTACCAAGTTATACTCCTACCATTAACATAGAAGAATAGTTCCACCATTCGCATATCACATATTATATAATTTTTTAAAAGTTATCTCCACACCCGACATGGGGCTTGAACCCATGGCCTTGAGTTCGAGTCACACACTCTGTACTGATTGAGCCAGCCAGGAGTCCCAGCATATTGTATAACTATTTTAAAATCTGAGAGCCCCAGACTTAAAAGTTCACATGTATGCAGCTACATTAATTTATTGGAAACAGTAGTAGAAGACTGCTTCTTAATTGACTTTGTTAGCTTTGAACATAATTCAAATGAAAGTCAAATGTAGTGCCCCAATTGTGGTCTCTAAATTGCCATTTTCTTCAAAGAAACCAGACTTCCTTGATAAATGGCTAATTCCACATCTAGAGGAAGAACTATACAAGAGCTTAAAAACCACTCTGTTTAACCAGAGAGCAAAGTGAGGCATTAAAGTTCTGTCAAAAAAAATTCAGAAGGCACCTTGAAGTTCCCACTGGCCAAAGCTAATTTTGGCAACAGTAAGGATAATATCTACAAGAGACTGAAGTTCATGTTGTTTTACTTTATAAGTTTACAAAATCATAGTTACCTTTGGAAAATACTCTTTTTTTAAAAAAAATTTGTTTATTTTGAAAGAACAAGAGAGAATGCACTAGTCAGGGAGGGACAGAGAGAATCCCAAGCATGCTCTGTGAAGCACAGAGCCCGATGCAGGGCTTGATCTCACAAACCATGAGATCATGACCTGAGCTGAAACCAAAAATTGGATGCTTAACCTATTGAGCCACCCAGGCACCTCTGGAATATGGTCTTAAAGAAATATACCAGCCAAGAAGTTAAAGAGGAATGATAGGATATCACTGTTTTATCCCACAAAGATTAATGGGTCTAGACAGTGATCACTAGTGACTGCTAACCTCACAAAGAGCACACATTTTGTGCCTCTTAATGGAAATACACATACCACTTATAAAGCAGTCCTACCAAAATTCAAATCTGATGCTGATTGAGCCTCCATTACCTCTTTACTTAGACATACTGGAAAAAAAAGGAACATGTTAAGTGATACCAGGAGAGATTCAATCAGCAAAATCCAAACTCTGGAAAAACTATAGGGCAAATAACGTTTCTTCAACAACTGAATTGCAAGGGGAGAAAAAAGACAGATTCTAAGTGACGTAAGAGATATATCTACCAAGACAATTTACGGGCTTATTTGGATCCTGATTTGAATAAACTTAATAAAAAAAAAAATGAGACCATGGGGGAAATCTGAAAGCTAAGGATATTTGATGACTTTAAGGATTTTAATGATTATTTTTAGGTATGATAATGGCATTGTGATTACATTTTTGCAGGGATCCCTATTACAGATGCAAATTGAAATATTTAAAAAAATGAAATAATAGGGTATTAGGATTTGCTTAAAAATTATTGAGGAGTTAGAGTTGGGTAGTTGTCAGAATATACATGAAACAAGATTGACCATGAGTTGACAATTATTGAAACTGGGTGATTAATACTTGTGAATTCATTATACAAGTACTATTTTCTCTACCTGTGTTTATATTAGAAATTTCCCATAAAAGTTTTTTTCTTTAATGTGAATCAAATTAATATAGAAACTCATTGTTTTTATTTTAATAATTCATGATAATGGCCTATACTTACAGTGATTTTTTTTGTAATGATTTTTTTCACTGGAATTAAACTTGAATCAGTCAAGCTAACATAATTATATTCTGCTCCAGTTAAAATGAATGATTAATTGATTTCAACTCTAGGGTAAATACTTGAAGCTGTCAGTCATTTCAGTAGTCATAGCAAGCAGGCCACTACATCCCTTCTTGCTTACTAGCTTTTGTTGGTGTTGCTAACTATTTAAGGGAAATATTTATTTTCTGTTAAACCATATCAGAGACTGTGATCAGTTTTTTCACATTTAACCTGTGTGTTCCGTATTAGAATAAATGTTAAGGAACTCAGTACAGTAAACTAGGTTCTACTATTTCTTGTCGAAATGATAATGATCCCCAGAGGTGGCAATGTATCTTTAAGAAGATATCCTGGGTGGTTCAGTAGGTTAAGCATCTGACTTTGGCTCAGCTTAAGTTCGAGCCCTGTGTCAGGCTCTGTACTGACAGCTCAGAGCCTGGAGCCTGCTTCAGGTTCTGTGTCCCCTTCTCTCTCTGTCCCTCCCCTGCTCGTGCTCTGTCTCTCTCTGTCTCAAAAATAAATAAACAAAACAAAAAAAAAATTTAAAAGAAGTAAGTAAATGTTAAAAAAAATTAATAAAAAAATGTCCTGGAGTTGTTTGTTCTCGGTGTGAAGAAACGAGAATAATTTGAAATGGTGTAGGCTGTCTTACATAAAAAGTAATTCCATTACATGAGTTTTCAAAATAATTTTGGGAAGGTGAAT